CGTGAGCCACAGCTCCGTGAGGGATGCGACATCTGAAGAAGCCTGAGTGAGCGGCGGAGGCCTCTGAGCACCTACCTTGTTTGGACCCAGAGCTAGCTTGGTGTTGGGAGCAATGTTACATAATTCTAGGAAAAAATCATTCGAGTAGGCCTAGTTCTCCTGCCTACAGGCCAGCTATTGCCATTCCAGACATAATTGCATTTTGGCCTTGGGTCACAACTGAGACCTCTGTGATCCAGGATGCTGTAATCTCCAGGACAAGACCACACCTGCGGGAGACGCCAGGGAGGAACCAAATCTTCATCTGCATAATTCCTCATTGTTCTTAGATTTCCAGGACCCCCAGCCTTTTGTTACACCTTGTTTATCCCAATGTGAAGTACTGAACTCTACAGTTTCACTTGTTACATTTATTTCCCCACGTACTGAATAAAAAGTGCTGCAAGCTAGGGGGTCTCTGTCTTTGCTGTCCAGAGCAGCACTGATCAGACCCAAAGCTCAGCTTCTTCTCAGTCTCATTTTTCTACTTTTCCTGTAATTCGCCGTGTGCTGCTGTGGGCTCGAAGGAGACTAGGACTCACTGCAGAGGTTCTGTTAACATCCCCTTCCCCTGTTCCCTACAGCTTGGGGCTGGAAATCCAGAAGAAAGAGACACTGTCCCTGCCCCATCTGAACCCATGGTGACAAATCAGTCTTCCCCTTCTCCGGTTGTTCACCCAGCTTCAAGCCGAGAGCCTGCTTCACTTTGTGAGGTCATCTGAAGAGACCAAGTCGCAGCTGAGTCACCTGCGACACCCAATTCCTCATGCACTGAACAGCAGCCTTCACCTGCCCAGCCCGCTCATGAAAACAGACCATGGGCATGGAAGTTGGACCCTACCTAAGTCTGCCAGCTCGTCCGGTGCAGAGGCACACCATGGTCACCTTTAGATCCCCATCCTTCAGCACTGTACTGAGTCTATGGGAAGAGTTTAAAGCCTCCAGAATGCTTCTCAAGTGGTTTTCTCTCTCACATTTTTTAATTCTTTTTTTGTAGTACTGGGGATTGAACCCAGAGCCTTCATACTGAGCTACAACCAAGCCCTTAAAATTTTTTTTTTTTTAATTTCTGCTGGACATGGTAGCATACACCAGTCATCTCAGCACTTGGGAGGCTGAGGCAGGAAAATCATCTCCTCAAGTCCAAGGGCAGCCTGAACTGCATAGTGAGACCCTGTTTCAAAAAAAATTTTTTTTTTTTAAATTTTGAGGTGAGATCCCATTAAGTTGTTTGGGGTGGGCTCAAACATCTGATCCTCTTGCCTCAGTCCTTCGGAGGGCTGGGATGACAGGTGCATGCCACTATACCTGGCTTCAGATGGCTTGTCCAGCATGACTTGGCTGCTGTGCCCCTCAAAGTGGCCGAGCTGCAGCCCAGTGACTGCCCAGCTCCATAGAGCCTTTGCATCAGTGTCCACCTAGGGTGCTGTGTAGCTTTGCATGCAGGTTCCTACACCCCTCAAGGACACAGCCTGTGCCAGAGGGTACTGAGGGCACAGGGGAAACAGGCAAAGCCCCGGGGCTTCAATTTCAGGAGTGTGTGTGTGTGTGTGTGTGTGTGTGTGAATAATCCTGAGGTTCTGTGTAGGTTATGAGACATGGATATGTCTTGATTCACAAGCCAATGTGGACTGTGAAGGAAGAGGCACCGTTTCAGGGCAAGCTGCTGTTTATGACTGTGTCTCACGGCTGTGTCACCAGCTCCCCAGAGTCCAGGTGGCCGACACTGTGGGGAAGAGCTCTGGGCTGGGGTCCTGTGACCTGGCGGCTGGCTCTGGCCACTTATGACATCAGGCTTCTCTGGGCCTCAGTTTCCTCTTTTTGTATAATGAGGTAGCAGGCTCCTACCTTGACCATATATTTTACCATGGAAGATGTCATGTCTCTAGGGAGCAGGCTGTACTGGGAAGAAAACCTCTGTGACTGAAGGGGAAGTTAAGGTTCAATCCGCATTTGTGTGAAATTGTAGATCACAAGGACAGTCCTGGCTCTCTGCCATGTCCTCAACTGCAAGATGGGGGCATTCCCTCCAAAGAGAGCCATGGAGGAGTCTACTGGAAGGATCTGAGTGGGGAACCATAAACAAGAGAACTGGCCTCCTCTTTCTGAACAAATTCTCTCTCCTAAGGGACAGCAGAGGAGGTAGATTCAGTGTCAGTGACTCTGCAAAACATACCCACTGTGAATAACAAGAATTAATAACAAGAATTAGCATGTGCACATAAATATCTGCAAGACAGAATTAGAAACTGCATCACACCTTGGTAACCTGTCATTTGAACTCCATATGTGAACTTTTCTTCTTTTATAAAAATATTTAAGGACCGGGGATTTAGCTCAGTGGTTCCAGCACCTGCCTTGAAAGCGCAAGCTCCCAAGTTTGATCCCCAGTACTAAAAAAAAAAGAAATTTAAATGCTGGCCATGGTGGCACAGGCTTGTAATCCCAACATTTGAGAGGCTGAGGAAGGAGGATCTCCATGAGTTCAAGGCCAGCCTGAACTATATGGTGAGACCCTGTCTGAGAAAACAAACAAATAAATAATAAATAAAAATACTATATAAAAGGACTCAGTTAGGGCTGGGGATTTAGCTCAGTGGTTTTGCCACCTGCTGCAAAAGTGCAAGGACCCTAGTTCGATCCCCAGTACCAAACAACAAAAAAAAGACAATCATACAATGAAGATATGTAACAATTCATTTAACCAATCTCCCATAATTTACCTTTCAGTTTTTTTCACTTTGTTTTAATCAATGACATCTTTATAAACAAATCTTGGGGAAAAAAAATCTCTGACTTTTTCCCTGAATATAAATTCCTAGAAGTAGAATGCAGGTTGATGAATAGGCACCTTTATAAAGATTCTGACCCTTGCTGAACTGTCCTTCAGAACCTGACTGGTGGTCAGGCGTGGTGGCGCAGGCCTGTAATCCAGCACTTGGAAGGCTGAGGCAGGAGGATCACTGAGTTCTAGGCCAGCCTGGGCTACACAGTGAATTCAAGGCTAGTCTGAACTACACAGCAAGACCCTGTCTTAAAAAAACCAAAAAAAGGGAAAGAAACCTGACTGGTTTGCCCTCTTGCCAGCTTAAGGAAGTCCCCCAAATCTCAGGGCTTCAGGGCTTTTGAACATGCTTTTTTTTTAAGCCAGGCATAGAAGCACATGGAAGCTAAGCACTCTGGGAGGCTGAGGCAGGAGGATCACAAGTTAAAGCTTGCCGGGGATTTTGCTCAGTGGTTCTGGCACCTGCCTCAAGTTAAAGCTCAGCCTAGGGAAGTTAGTGACTGATACCCTGTTACTGGGGATTTGGGGTGCTGTGGGCTCTTTTCAGAGATTCCAGGTTCTTGGTGTCTTGAACAAAGAATTGGACAAAACACAGGAAAAAGGTAGTGAGGTTTTACATTTGTTAAAGGTAGGAAAAGAAGTGTGCTCTGCAGAGCAAATTCAGGCCAATTAAAGGTAGGAAGAAAAGTACCTTCTGCAGAGTAAGAGTGAGCCACTGAGGGAGAGCATAGTGGCGATGAGGCAGCCTCTTTTGTATCTCCCATTCCTCAAGGTGACATCAGATCCAGGCTGTCCTATCAAAAACCTGTTTGGTTTCACACTAGAAAAACTGAAGAAAGCACTTTCTGATTGGTCCCAGTGCAGGGCTTTGGAAGTGTTTTTCTGGGCATGTGTCCTGGATCTCTGTGATTGACAGGTCATTCCCACTTGCCTAGCTGGCTGGCCACACCCTAATCTCCTGCCTCATTCGTCCCTGAGTGACATAAATCCCCATAATTCTCTATGGGACACTGAGGGTATGCTAGTCTGTGTCTTTGTATAGGTACTTCCGGCTGAAAGGGGCTGCAGGCCCTACCTACCAGGGGTTATATTGCTCTCCAACTATCTCGGGATGTTGTGGCTCATTGGCTGGGTTGAAAAAAAAACAACTTGTCACAATAAGAAAGGAGTCAGTACTTACATGTGAAGAACTGTTGAACTAACTGCCTGTTCAATGGGAGAAAGCTTGGTGAATTTGTCAGAAGAGTCATGGGCTGCAGTCTGGGTCACCATCTGAAGCCCTGAATGGACAAACACTACAGTATTAGGTTGAGGATGCAGAGCCTAAATATGACAAGGAATAGGCCAGAATATTTCCTGGTCTGTCTATAAACAGGTGGACTATGACAGATCTCGTAATAAAAGTTTCCACACTTCCTGTGGAGGAGAAAGCATGGTGAAGAGGGATATTAGGTAGACTACCAAGAGCCCGAGAGCCATAGCCCTAGCAAGATCACCTACATTATAGATCTACTTAAAAACAGGAGTCCCAGTGTAGTGCCCACTTCAGGTGTTCTGCGCTGCAGAACCCCGGTAACAACCGTGTCTCAAAATAAAAACAATAAAAGGGCTGGGTATGCAGCTCTCACACACGCATGCACACACGCACAAATCTTAGCTTATTAAATGTACTTCTCCCTTCCTAGTCATGCCTAATCAACCCTCAAGTGAATGCTATAAACCTGTGGTTCTGAAACTTCAGTGTACACCAGAATTAGCTGCAGCGCTTGTTAAAGGCAACTACAGGGCCCCAATCCAGAGATTCTAATTTCCTAGACACCCATGGAATCTGAGGCTGTGTTTCTAACAGGCTCCCAGGGGCGGCTAGAGGGAGACTCGCTGGATTCCTGGCCTAGACTGAACTCCTATGGGTCTTTTTTACTCTATGCTGTTAATTATGCTAAACGATCTTACTCTGTGCCCTGAATACTGCTTCTTGTTGGCCCACCACCTCCATCAGCAGACTGGATTGGACAGGCTTCCTGATATTTAATAAACATGTTGCAAGTTGACTGGATGCCGCACTGAACCAAGAACTGGGATGGTCAAATACAAGTTCACACTGCCTTCCAGAATAGCACAAGTAAAGAGATCAGGTATTCATCTGCTTTTCGTTGTGGGGACAAAACACCTGACACACAGGAGGAAGGTTTATTCTGGCTCACAGTTTCAGAGGTTTCAGTCCATGGTTGCTGGTTCCATTGCTGTGGGTAGGAGATGAGGGAGAATATGGAGCTGCGCATCACATACAAGGCAGCCAGGAGCAGAAAGGGGAAAAAACAGCCAGAGAGGAGCTGGGGATTTAGCTCAGTGGTGCCGCCTCCTGCCTCGAAAGTGGAAGGTCCCAAGTTCAATCCGGGCTACCAAAAAAAAAAAAAAAAAAAGAATCAACCAGGGAGGAAGGGGCTGGGACCAGATAAAGAGTCCCCAAGGTTGTGTCCCCATACTCTGTTCCCTTCAACAAGGCTCACCTCCTGTTTCCATGTCCCAATAAAGTCACTAAATTATGATCCATCAATGGAGTAATCTGCTTGATGAAGTTAGAGCCCCATGGTCCAATCACCTTCTGAAAGCACCACCTCTGAACAAAAGAGACTTTCAGGGGACATTTCCAATCTAAATCATAACATATAGTAAAAACACTGTAGGAGGGACCGGGGATTTAGCTCAGTGGTTCTGCCACCTGCCTCGCAAGTGCAAGGTCCTGAGTTCAATCCCCGGTACCAAAAAAAAAACATTGTAGGAGAATTTGGAACCTCCTACATTGCTGATGGGAGTGTAAATAGTGCAACCACTTTGGAAACTAGCAGTTCCTCAAATGGTTAAGAGTTATATAGCCCAGCAATTACACCCTTAGGTATACACCCAAGAGAGGACATGTTCAAACCAAAACTGTACACGTGTGGCAGTGTTATTCAGAACAGCCAAAGAGTGCAACTACTGTAAATATCTATCAATTAGGGCCAGGGATTTAGCTCAGTGGTTCCACTGCCTGCCTCGAAAGCACAAGATCACAGTTTGATCCCCGGTACCAAAAAAAAAAAATTAAAAATCTATCAATTGATGAATGTATAAATAAAATGTGCTAGACACATACTGTAGAATATTACTCAGTCATCAAAGAGTGAAGTATCAGGGCCAGAGATTTAGCTCAGTGGTTCCGCCGCCTGCCTTGAAAGTACAAGGTCCCGAGTTCGATTCCCAGTATCAAAAAAAAAGAGTGAAGTATCGCTACATGTGAGGACATGGATGAAACTTGGAAAAAAAAAAGACGTTAAGTTGGGCCGGGGATTTAGCCCAGTGATTCCGTTGCCTGCCTAGCAAGTGTAAGGACCCGAGTTCGATCCCTGGTACCAAAAAAAAAAAGATGTTAAGTGAATGAAGCCAGGCACAAAAGGTCATATAGTATAGTTTCTATTCACATGACGTCTAGAATAGGAAAAGCTAGGGTTAGGGGAGATGATTTTGTAGTTTTTTTTTTTGTATCAGGGATCAAACTCAGGACCTTGTGCTTGCGAGGCAGGCACTGGAACCACTGAGCTAAATCCCCGGCCCAGGAGTGATGATTTTGGAGTGATTGTGGTTATAAAACACTGTGAATATAATAAAAACCACTGAATTTTACACTTTAAATGGTTGACTTTTGCTATGCACTCTGACACACACACCTGTAATACCAGCACTTAGGGTGCTGAGGTAGGAGGATCAAAAGTTTGAGTATTGGGCTGGGGATTTAGCTCAGTGGCGCCACACCAGCTTCACAAGCCCAAGGTCCTGAGTTCAATCCCCCGTTCAAAAAAAAAAAAAGAAAAGTTGAATCCTGCCTAGGCAACTTAGTGTGATCCTGTCTCAAAATTTAAAAAAAAAAAAAAAAATTCAGCCAGGTGTGGTGGTTCATTCCTGTAATCTCAGCACTTGGGAGCCTGAGGCAAGAGGATTGCTGGGAGTTCAAGGCCAGCCTGAACTACACAGCAAGACCTGTCTCAAAACAAAACAGAACAAGTTTAAAAGGGCTGGAGTTGTACTGTGAAGGCTCCATGTTCAATACTCAATACTGAAAAGGGAGTGAGTTATATATGAATTATATCTCAATAAACCCAGTACCTCAAAAAAATTGCATGAACACAAGAGGTGTTACAATGGTAGCAAAAAAGCAGAAGCACAATGTAGGAGAGCTACCTAGAAAAGACTGTGGAGACTGTGCACAACCTATTAATTTTACTAGTTCTATTGTTTGGACTTAAGTTAAATTTCTATTTTTTCCCTCAGTATTGGAGATTGAACCCAGATCTTCATACTGAGCTATTCCTAGCTACATTTTAAAAGTTTTGGTTACAGTATTTGTTTATTTTGGGGACAGAGTCTCCCTACGTCACTGTTTCCCAGGGTGGGTTTAAACTGGTGATCCTCCGGTCCCAGCCTCCCAGAGTGCTGTATTTCAGGCGTGGGCCACCACATCCGGGCTAAAATTCTAATTTTACTCGAGGAGCACTGAGATCTTCATGCTAATGAATCTTCTTATCTAAAAGCATCATCTTTCTACTCGACTGCTTTATCTGTGAAATTCGGAGAACGCCTCACAGGGCCGTCCTGTGCGTGAGAGGCACGGTATGCTGGGGACATGCTGCTTTCCCACTTTGCTGTGTTCGGGCTTGGTCATTTAACGTGAACTTCGGTTCTCCCCTGTGTACAATGAATGAATGAGTGAAGTATCTGCTTCATTCGACCGAAATGAGGGTTAACTGAGATGAAGCACGCCAAGGGCCCAGCGCTGTGTCTGGAACCGCAGTGCTCAATAAATACCAGTTCTTTTTCTAAAACTAGGTTATCCCAGGGCAGGAAGACGTGACTTAATGCATTAGCTTGGTGGCATCCACTTGAGGTCATCGAGCCCAGGGTCAACTCGTCTTTCCTAGAATCTACCTACCCATCCGTCCACGGCTCCTTCTGTCTCTCCGAGGGCGCCCGGGGGCGCAGGCAGCCGCGGTACCCGGCGCCCCTACTGCAGCACGATCCTACGACCGCACCCTCTCCCGCCTACCCGGCGCTGCCACGTCTCGCGCGGCCTGCAGGCTCCACGAGAGCTGGGGCGTTACCGGGGCCCGCCCCCGAGCGCCGTACGTCACGCTTAGGCCCGCCCCTCCGTGGCCCGTGGCCCTGGTAGGGCTGCACCTGGGCAGAGCCGCGAGACTCTGGGGGCGGGACGAGCGCGCGCCCGGAAGTCCAGGAGGAGGGGGTGTGACGTATATCCGGCGAGTAACTGGCGCTCTCTGTTGCTGGTGGTCTGTGTGCTCCGAGGAGGGTCCAAGCCGCCCGCTGCCGCTGCAGGAGCCCCTCGGGCTGTGAGTCAGAGGGCTGAGGCTGCGGAGGCAGCAGTGGTCCTGGGAACTGGAGCGGTCGATGAAGAGGGTCAGGGCGGAGGCCGGCCTCGGCAAGATGGGGGAGGAAGTGACACGCAGGCGGTTCTGTGGGCCACGGGACTGGTTCTGGGCGGGGACGGGCCGACTCGGCCGTGTGTGATCCATCTCCTGCCGGCCTCTGGGGTATGGGGTTCAATTGCATTCCACTGGGGAGTCTTGCAGCTGCTGGGTCCATGTTCTGGTGTGTGAAACCTTTCTTGTCCCCTATCGGATGAGTCTCAGCCCTCAGTGGGGCCGGTGGGAGGGAGCCTGTGAAGATCGTCCTTGTTCTCCAGACTCCGGGGCTGAGACCCTGCGAAGCCCGGAAGCTAGCAGGTGTGACCGTGCAGACCAGGTCTACAGGCCCCTCGTTTAGAGCTCCTTCCCGCGTTATCTGATGTCCTGTGTATAGTCCCGTGTTTTCTCTTTCCCTCTGTTTCCCTCTCTCCTGTGCATGGAAAAATGTACATTTGGGATAGTTAAGTGTTTTCTTCACGATTTACAATTCTAGCCGAAAGGTCAGACATCATATTGCCTCTGAGTATTCTCCTCAGTCCATCTGCTTAGGTTGAGACAGGTTTAAGGAGATTTGCCATTGGGCTGATCTTTGACATTTATCCCTTCCCAGATAAGCTGAGTTTCTCAGCAAAAAGCCAGCCACCTACTACCCCAGATGTGTCTGCATTGGTGTCTTGAATTTGCTTTGAATGTATATAAGAAGTAATGTGGGAGCTGGGGGTGGTGGTGCATGCCTGTAATTTCAGTGCTCTGGAGACTGAGGCAGGAGGATCAGCGAGCTCGAGGCCAGCCTGAACTGCATAGTGAGACCCTGTCTCAAAAAACAAAAACAGAAGTAATGTGTAAATATTTTATTGGCTAATGATCAGTTTGGTGCTTCTCCTTTCTATATGTTTCAATCAGTCGTGAAATTCACAAGTTTTCACTTTAAGTACAGCAGTGTTTTTGTTGGTCTTTGGGACCCTTAAATTTTAAGAGTATTCTGATTTGCTATAAGGTGATGGAGTGGATCAAGAATAGAAAATAAGCCAGGTGTGGTGGCACGCACCTGTGATCCCAGCAGTCGGGCTGGGGCAAGAGGTTCGCTTCGAGTTTGAGGCCAACCTGGGCTACTATAGTGAGATCCTGCGCCCTCCCCCCAATAGAATGTCAATTATTAAAATAGCCAGAAGATAAGAAGTAAAAAAGACTTCAAATACTGTCTATATAATTGCAGGGTAACTGTTTTTAAGTAATTCTTTGTTTTGGATTTGAATTTTATATTATCAGGAAGGGCTTTGGTTTTGGTGTTAAAAGAGGAGAATATAAGTCCTGGAAATATCAGCTTTTTCAGCTGAGCAGTCAGCTACCATAAGAGTCAGCATCCTCATCTTGTTAAATGAGGCCAGTGCTTGATAGACTTGTTATAAGGTTGAAATGGGGTGTGTATGTAAGTACTGTACATAAATTTCAAAATTACTGATGAGTTGGTATAAATCTGAGATCTCAAAGATGGAGGAATCATCACAGCCATTGTTTTTCACTTTGTGTAGCAGTAAAACTCAACTCTTTGGCTATAGTAAGTGTTTTTATTTATTTTTTTGGGTGTCATCTTAAGTTTCTTCACAGTCCATAGATCATTTGGAAGGAAGAATTGTAGGGCTTTTAAGCAAACATGCCAAGGGGAAGTAAAAAGTCAAAGTAGTTCACTTACTACATTTAAAAAAAAAATCCCTTAACAGCTAGGCGTGGTGGCACATGCATCTAATCCCAGAACTTGGGAGGCTGAGGCAGGAGGATCACCATGAGTTTAAGGCCAGCCTGGGCTATATAGTGAGCTCAAGGACAGCCTGAATTACATAGCAAGACCCTGGTCTCAAAAAACAAACAGAAAAACAAAACAAATCATGTTAAGTGTGGGTTTTTGCCTTTGTAGCTTTTATAGAGTCCACGTGGTTGGGAGTACTTCTAAAATGATGTGGCAAAATTGGAAAGAGAGTCTGAAAGTATGGAGTGCAGCCTGTATAGTGTAAGTGGACAGAGAAGTGCTGGGTTGGAAAGGAGTGGGCAGTGTGGGAGTAAACTATGAATGAGGTGCTCTCTAAAGGCAGGCTGTGCTTCTCCAAGTGATAGACTGAGCAGAGTAGGCAAGGACGGCTGGTTTGCAGGGATTGTAGAGAAAAGGCTCATTGCTTTTACTTACCTATTGTAAATGGGAACTTAAGCATAGGACTTTTTTTTTTTTTTTTTTGAGACAGGGTCTCATGATGTAGTTCAGGCTGGCCCTGAACTTACTGTGTAGACCAGGCTGGCCTGGAGCTTTCAGCAGTCCTCTTGCCTCAGCCTCCCGTGTGCTGGGCTTACAGGCATGTGCCACCATGCCTGGCCAAGCATAGGAACATGTTTTGAGTACAGTACTTAAATTATTGGACTTCTTCAAGTCCAAAGTAAGTTTGCAGACAGTACTATTACTTAACATGCTAAATGTGCAAATGTACTCTGTCTCTGTCTCTGTGTATGTCTCTCTCTCCCTGTGTCTTCTTTTCTTTCTTTTTTTCCTCTGGTGATGCTAGGGATTGAACCTAGGGCCATGGGCATACCAAGCAAGCACTCTACCACTAACCTACATCCTCAGCCACTGCCAAAATATGTTTGAAATGAGCAAGAAAACCTCTCATTTAGGATCTTTTCATAAAGGTTTCCCCTCGAACTGTACCTTCACTCAAATTCCCACACTTTGTCCCTCTATGGCAGTGGTGGTGAACCTATGGCACATATGCCACGGCAGGCTGTTTGTATCATTGAAAGCTCTAAAAGATTCAGCATCACTGCTCTATCCTAAGAGCCTTGAAACCTAAGCAGTAAGTAGGCCCTAAAGTTTACAGGTCCTGCTTTATAGATAAAAACCCAGTAATTGGATGAAAAGGAAAAAGCATACACTTTTTTTTCTTTTTCCAGTTTCCATCTAGCACTATTTGAAGACTATATTGGTGGGGCTGGGTACAGTGGCATTCACCTGCAGACCCCAGTATGTGGGAGCCTGAGGCAGGAGGAAGCTTTGAGCCCAGGAGTTCAAAGCATGCCTGGCATGAGAGCCCATCTCATACAACTGTGTGTAGACCTGTTAGTAACTTCGAGTGATTGTTTTGTCTAGGTGTATGGGAAGCAAAAAAGGGGTGTTAATATCAGTACTAATTGAGATATTTATCTGCTTAGGAACCTGCTGTTACATTATGAATGAGTATTTTAAGAAAATAAGAATTTGTAAAGTGGGTTTTGACTTTGTTACTTATGAAAGGATTCTCTCTCTCTCTCTCACTCTCTTTTTGGCTATACTAGGGATTGAACCCAGGGCCTTTGCATTGAGCTACATCCCTTTTCCTTTAAAAACATGTTTAACAAATTTTTATTTTGAGACAGGGATGTACCAAGTTGCCCAAGCTGGGCTCAAACTTGCAATCCTCCTGCCTGAGCCTCCCAGAGTGCTGGGATTCTTCATGGTTCCTATTTTGGGAGATGGAGGTGGAACTGGACATCAGATCCAGGGGAACTCTACCAGTGAGTTCTATCCGCAGCCTTTTGTTTTTGGTTTTGAGACAGGTCTCACTAAGTTGCCCAGGTGGGACTTGTGATCTTCCATCCTTGTCTCTGGGATTAAAAGCTTGTATCACTATGTCTGGCTTCATGGTTCTTTTTATAGGTGAAACATATCTGCAAAGGGGTAAGCAAATAATTGTTTAAGAAGAAAAAATATTTGTAAATAGAGCAGAGACAATTGTGACAGCCAGTAGGATCTTGGGTGACTTTGGTTTTTTAGAACTGTGTACAAAGATGGGTTAATATGCTTTCACTCGTTTTTGGGGGGGTTTTTTTGGTATGGGGGATTGGACTCAGCACCTTGCACATGCAAGTCACTCTTATTTTCTCCATTGTATATCTATGGCCTTGGGGGTGAGGGAAGTGGTACTGGGAACTGAGCTTAGGGCCTCTTACCTGTAGGCAAGTAGGCAGGTACTCTACCACTGAGTTATATCCCCAACCCTTTTTAAATTTTAGTTTTGGAGAGATCTTGGTAAGTTTCCTGGTCTGGCCTCAAACTTATGATGTTCCTGTCTCAGCCTCCCAAGTACTAGCTAGGATTATAGGCGTGTGTCACTGCACCTCATTCTATACGGCCATTTGATGTAGATTATTGATGAAACTGATTTCTTAGAGGTGCTGCTAACTGGTAGTCAGCAGTGCTCTGTTTGGGGGATAGAATGAACAGCTGCCTGGAGGAGTGAGTCACCCACTGAAAAAGGAAAGTATAACTTCTAGTACTCTGGGTATTGATCAATAACTATTAAGAAACGATGAATTTGCACAGCAGGAGGATCCTAGAGGCTTCTTTCGAGGATTTGAAATCCTTGTCTCAAGGGGGAAGTTTCCTTTATCTTCTTTGTATTTTTTTTCTTTTTTGGTACCGGGGATCGAACTCGGGACCTTGTGCTTTTGAGGCAGGTGGCGGAACCACTGAGCTAAATTGCTGGCCCTCTTCTTTTTATTCTTAGGCTAGAAAACCTGACACTGAACATACATCAGGGGATGGAATAAGAGTTAACTTCTCCAGTGCAGTACTGGCATTCAGAAGGTTAATGTTTGCTACTTTTCTATTTTATACAGGTACTAAGGATTAACGATGTCTTTCATCTTTGAGTGGATCTACAATGGCTTCAGTAGTGTGCTCCAGTTCCTAGGTAAAGCCATTTTCTTGAAATATGTTGTAGGTTTAAAACTGTGTGCAGTAAGCTGGACATGGTGGTGCACACCTGTAATCCCAGTACTTGGTCTTGCCACAAGTTTGAGACCAGCCTGAACTACATAGTAGGACCTTGTCTCAAAATAATAATAATAATAATAATAATAACAACAACAACCACCACCACCACCACCACCACCACTACTAAAACTGTGTGCATTTCCCCCAACAGTTTAAATGCAAGCAGGCATTGGGTATATAGAGAACAATTTACATTAAAACTTTTCTTTTTCAGGGCTGTACAAGAAATCTGGAAAACTTGTATTCTTGGGTTTGGACAACGCGGGCAAAACAACTCTTCTTCACATGCTCAAAGATGACAGGCTGGGCCAGCATGTTCCAACACTACATCCGAGTAGGTTTGAAAATACCAGGTGACCTGTTATCATCAAAGGTCATTGTTGGGCTTGGAGGATGACCCCTGTTAATGTAGTTGTATATTATCTGAGGTCCCAGAAGCCAGCTTGCCCCCGTTACCATAGAACATATTCAGGCCACTTACTTACAGATCTAGACCTCTGGAGCTTTGTCACGGTCTCTCCCCATTGGTTCTGTAATGGGGCACTTCTGTGTCTACATCTAAGAAGCAGAAAATACCCTGGAGAAAAACTTGCTGTTTAGAATAGGTTGAGAATGCTTTCACGCCTGTCTCCTTTTCTTTGTAAGGTGAAAGCTTCATTAAGTTTTGGTCCTGTATTGGCTTACAGTTCTGGTAGTTGGGTGTTTGAATGGAAAACTTACGTTTTTCCTCTTGATGATCTTTCAGCGTCAGAAGAGCTGACAATTGCTGGAATGACGTTTACCACTTTTGATCTTGGTGGACATGAGCAAGGTGAGAGACTCAGTGGAAGCACGGTTTTGACATAAGGTTCCTTTGCCCCTGCCCCCCCCCCCCCGCAGTGTTATTTTTACCTTTTAAATTACCTGCAGTTAAGTTTGTGATCTTACAACTTCAGAGAAATTGTTTTATGTACTTATTAGTTTTAAGAAATTGCAAACTTGTCCAGAATTGCAGAAATAATACAGGAAATTTCATTCACTTATATCTTTTGTCCAGATTTATTGATGTCCTTCCGCTCTCTCAAATACATATTAATGTTTACTTTTCTGAATTTTTTTTTTTTTTTTTTTTTTTTTTGATTTTTTGAGACAGGGTCTCACTATATAGCCCAGTCTGTCCTTAAACTCATGGCAATCCTGCCTCAGCCTTTGAATAGATGTTAGTTCATCATGGCCCATTATTTCCCAATACTTTATGGCCTATTTCCTAATAATAGTTATTAAATTCAGGATGTTTTATTTCTATCTACTCTGTCATATGTGTCCTCTTTGTCAGTTGTCCCAGTAATCTCCTTTTATTGTATTTGGTCCGTTAGAGCAGGCCAGTACAATATCACACTTATGTAAGTTATCAAGTCTCTTGTATACTTTTATTCAGTGGAGCGTAAGTATGTAGGAAATTAACTTACTGTTATAAGTAAATTTTTTGTTTGTTTGTTTTTGGTATCCGGGATCGAACTCGGGACCTTGCACTTGCGAGGCAGGCAGCAGAACCACTGAATTAAATCCCCAGCCCTGTTTATAAGTAATTTTAAACTTGTCAAAAGTTCCTCAAATAGCCAGGTATGATGGCACATACCTGTACTCCCAGCACTGAAGCCAGAGGATTGCAAGTTAGAGCCCAGCCTTGGGCAACTTAGCGACTTGGAGAGACCCTGTCTTAAAAAATGGTGGGGATATAGTTCAGTGTGCAGGTTGCCAAAATAATATAGTGACTCTTTGTGACTAATCTGTACAGATTCTTTTTTGGTTTTTTTTTTTGATTCCGGGGATTGAACTGAGGTCCTTGTGCTTGCGCAGCAGGCGGCAAAACCACTGAGCTAAATCCCTGGCCCTGTACAGAATTTTTGTATGCTCTGCCCATTTGGGACAGCTAGAACATTTTCTTCTACTGTTTTGTTTTGTTTTTTACCAGTTTGTTCTTATAAGTCTTTTTTTTGTTGTTGTTCTTACTTAGGTTGTCTGTCTGGTTCCCAAATTCCTGTCAGGTGTGTTTTACATATTTTAGGGATCTACGGAATGGATATCTTTGTTTCCCTCTACTGGGAATTGAAACAGGGCTTCACATATAGTAGGCAAGCACCCTACCAGTGGCTATGTCCCAACCCTCAGAGTGAGAATCTTTAACAGACACACTTAGTTTACATTTAGCAAGACTCTAGGTGGAGGAGTACAACATTTACAGTATAGGAAATGGGAAGGTAGGAAAAAGAAACCACTGAGATTTCGGTCACACTTACTCATTTGATATTGAGATGAGAAGTCTCCTAAAAGGAGACTTTTATTAGGTTCTAAAAAGGAAGCATTTTATCAGGCTCAATCTAATAATAGTTTTTTTAAAGTTTAATTAAAAAGCAAAATATTGATAATTACTAATCATTTAGCATAATTTTATAGTCAGTGATTTCATTAGGATGCTTGCATTTCATTCAATATTTATATCCTGATATGTATAGTATGCTTATAACCACATAAGAGTTTTCAGAAAAAAGGGTATATGAGGATTTTAGGACTCTACCACCGAACTACATCCCTAGCCCCTGAAGTTGTAGGTTTTTTGTTTTTTTCTGTGGGTTTTGGTTTTCTTTTTTTTTGGTACTGGGGATCGAACTTGGGTCCTTGCACACTTGCAAGGCAGGCGACAAAACCATTGAGCTAAATCCCCGGCCCTGTTTTCAGTTTTCTTGAGTCAGAGTCTCATGTAGTACAGACTGAACTTAAACACGTTCTTCCAGCTTCAGCCTCCCAAGTGCTGTGATTATAGGTGTGCACCTGTAATCCCAGCACCACATTCCTCTGAGCTTGTGGCTCTTTCTCTTTCTTTCTTTCTTTCTTTGAGCACTAGGTGTTGAACTCAGGGCCTTCACATTGAGCTACATCCACAGATTTTTTTTTTTTAGATTTTTTTTCCTATTTTGAGACAATGTCTCTAAATTGCTCAGGTGGGTACACACCCCAGTTTGAGGTTGTGTTTTGATGGAAGAATTATGAATTATCTTGTTTCCCTTCTTTCCGTAATGAGCTTGTATTTTATTCATTTGGATAGGAATGAGTATTCCTTGTCTTATTCTGCTTTTTTCCAAATGGTTTTATAACTACTTAAAAATTTAAATTCGGAGCAAGATAAGACTTAAACCTAGACCATCTGGAGAATGTGGAAGGAATAGTTACCAGATATCTTTAGATACCTGACCTGGGAATTGTAAATTAATTTGGTGTAATAAATTTAGCTTTCAGATTGTGTTAAAGCAAAATAGTTTTATTTAAGGAAAATTTACTTAGCAGAAATACCTTTTCCTAATAATCTGGCCGGCCACATTTTATAGACATTAATACAGTAGAACATTGTACATGTGGAGATTTCCTTTTTTATTTGCATAACTTCACATTTTTACCTTATAAAGACAGCCCAAAGTATCAAACTCAATACAGAAATATGGAAAGTACAAGGGAAAGTCCCAGCCTCTCCTTCTCTGCCCCACTTTGAGAAGACCTTTCATATAGAGTTGCTTCCTTATTCATCCCATTGGGCGGATTAGAAATAAGTGCTTTAGGAATTATAATACAAGCTAGATGGGGCTGGGCATCCTGGACCACATCTGTAATCTTAGCACTGGGGAGGCTGAGGCAGAAAGATACTATGAGTTCGAGGCCGCCCTGGATTACATAGTGAGTTCAAGGACAGTTGGACTACATAGTGAGACCTGGTCTCAAAAAACAACAAAACAGGGCTGGGGATGTAGCTCAGTGGTATAGCATCTGCCTGGCAAGCATGAGGTCCTAAGTTCAATCCCTGGTACCAGAAAAATAAAAAAGAAAAAAGAAAAAAAACAAGCTAGGTAGGAGGCAGAAGGATTGCAGCTTTGAGCCCAGTGTGGGCAACTAAGTGACTTAGTGAGGCCCTGTCTTGAAATTTAAAAAATCAAATAAGAAGGCTGGGGGTATAGCCAGTGTGAAAGCCCTAATAAGTTCAACCCCAGTACTACAAAAAAAAAAATTAGCTAGGGGTTTAGCTCACTGGTTCCGCCACCTGCCTTGTAAGTACAAGGTCCCAAGTTCGATCCCCAGTACCAAAAAAAAAAAAATAATAATACAGTGAAATCACTGCTTCCCAACTTTTGTCACTTCTTTTTTTCGGGGGACAGAGTTGAGACAGGGTCTCACTGTGAACTAACTATGTAGTCCAGGCTGGCCTTGAATTTCTAGTAAGTCTCCTGTCTCAGCCTTTCTAGTGTTGGGACTACAGGCGCCATACCCTACTGTAACTTTTTTTTTTTTTTTTGGTACCGGGGATCGAACTCGGGTCCTTGTGCTTGTGCAGCAGAAGGCAAAACCACTGAGCTAAATCCCCGGCCCCACCTCACTGTAACTTTTATCACTTCTTGTCACAAAAGAAACAAAAAGCTCTTATGGGGACTGGGTTAAATACAGGAGCCCAAGTAACTGGCCCTGAGACTTCAGCTCCCTATCAGGCCCAGGCCCAGGCCCAGCCCCCCTAAAGGACTTAGTAAAGAGCCCCCTCCCTAAGGACCGAGCAGCAGAGTGAGCACTACCTACACACTGGTAAGTTAGGGACTAAAGTTATTTGAGGAGTAAAGTCATTAGTGTACTGATGCTGTAACTCAGGTTGCAAACACTTGGTTCCAGGGACCAGACCGGTCTGTGAGTGAGTCAGATTGAGGGATTGTGAGACTAGGGAGCTGACTGAGGAGCTCAGACTCATCCAGAGGGGCAGCCCCGGCCGCTCAGTTCTGACTGATCATTGGCCCCTGGTTGCCAGATGTTGTGGTTTTTCAGAGAAGACAGAAACTCTGACTTTGCAATTTACAAAAATCGGGTTTGGCTCATGCATCCTCTATTCTGACTTAATACTTACCAAGACGTAGGGAATTACTTCATAGGGGCTTAATGTCACTGAAACTGGCCAACATTTGCCCATTTTATAAACCATTAGGTTTTTCATTTTCAAAATACATATTTTTTGTTGATGAAAGTACAAATTTATGTTTTAGCTCGTCGAGTTTGGAAAAATTACCTCCCAGCAATCAATGGTATTGTCTTCCTGGTAGACTGTGCAGATCATTCTCGTCTCATGGAATCCAAAGTTGAGCTTAATGTACGTATACATCTTTTCCTTTCTTGGCCTGTGTTTCTTTTAAGGAAGACAGCTCCGTACTACCAATATTTAATCATTCTAGTTAACATACAGTGAAAGTCCTAGAAAAAGATTTTAAATCTAAAATACTTTTTAATGTCTTGAGGAACCTCAGCTTTAATTTGAATAAGTTAATTTTGTGGTTTTTATCCTGCATGGCCCAGTTTGCTCAGGACACTCCTCAGTTTATGCCTGTTGCCTCAGCATAGTTGGTAGTGTTCCTTTTCATGTATTACGTACAGTCATTCTTTGTGGGAAATCTGCATGGTGAGACCCTAAAAGAGAGACTTGAGTTCTTTGCATTTTTTTTTTTAAGATAGGGTCTTGCTATGTAGTTCAGGTTGGTGATCCTCCTGCCTCAGCTTCCTAAGTGCTGGGATTATAAGTGCATGCCACCACTCTCGGCCATTTCCAGTTCTTTACATTTTTGAATCTACCTTCCCAAGTTGTGCTTACCCACCCTCTCCTTGAATGACCTGCCAGATTTAAAACTTATTCTCAGGCTGTAGTTTGTGGTCCCATGCATCCTTTGATACAAGTCAAAGCCACCAGGTTTTCTGCTTTGTCAGCATTGCATTGCCCTGGCTTGGCAATTTCTAAGTATGTTTTCTCAAGTTCATAGCTGTGGTCTTGTGGAGCTGCCTAAGGTGCAGGGCAGCCCTTACCTTCCTTTCCCTCTGGCACAGGCCGCTCTTGCCTTAAACTCCCCTTTACACTCTTGATTTTGGTGCTCCCTGTCTGCTGTCTGGCTCACACTTCTCAGTCTCTTTCACAAGAGCTTGTTCCTCTGCCCAGCCCTTCCTCCGGGTCTGCACGCCCTCCCAGCCAGTCTCCTCTCCACCCAAATGTCAGTGACTCCAGATGGATTTCTCTAGACCAGACCTCCTGAAGCCCCTTGTATGTGATGCTTCCCGCTAGACTATTCTGGTTACAGGTAGAATATGGGGGCTGAGGAAATTACTCCCCTCCACCCATTTGAGCTCGGGCACCACCCTAGGACCATTCTGTGTAACCCCAGATCAAAGCACATGCTACCTTTTTCTCTCTCTCATTCTTGAACCCAAAAGCCTGATCTACTGTATCTGCACGGCGGGCAGTGTTTCTTTTCTGTCTTCCCAGGACCACCTCTCTGTTTGTGACCTTTAGTAAATGTAGCTGCTTTTCCCTCACCATATAGTGTACACTTTGCAATTCTTTATTTGCTGTACACCAGAGCTTGGAATCTGTTGGATCCACCACTTTCTGTGTCTGTTTTCCCAGAGTGGAACTGTTGTTCTTCTCCTATCACCTTCCTGAACATGCAGTCCAAAAATCTGTGAATTTCTGTAGATTCTGCCACCCTTCTGCCATGCACTATAAAATGCAAAATTGCCCTGCTTAATATCCTTTAACAGTTCTCTATTTCTATCATTTTCAGGATAAAAAGGTGTCAATTTTTTGTGTAGCACATAACAGTCTTTTGTGATTTTCTCCCATTGTTGTTTTTCTTTTTCTTTTTTTAAATTTTTTCTTTTTTTGTTTTGTTTTGAGGCAGGGTCTCGCTAGGCAGTTCAGGCTGGCCTTGAACTCACTGTGTAGCACAGGCTGGCCTTGAACTCGTGGCAATCCTCCTGCCTCTGCCTCCCCAGTGCTGAGATTACAGACATGTGCCACCATGCCTGAGTGTTGTTGGTTTTTCTCTCCAGCATCTTTTCTTTCTGTTGCCTACCTTACATTCTATTCCATTCAGAGAACTTGTCCTTCCTTGAATATGGACAAGTAGCCATTCCCTTCCTGGCTTCCCCACCTGCTTGCCCCACCCCTTTTGTTATTAAATTTTAAAATGTTCTTGAAATCTCAAGAGTTGTATCCTGATTTCCCAGACTATATCAGTCCCCTCCCCACTCCCACCAGTGTCTCTTTTCTTTATACCAATTTTCTTGGTGATCTCTCCCACCAGACTATGGACCTGTACAGTAGGGACTTTGTGTTATTTCTTTGTGAAACCCCTATATCTAGCAAAGCAATGGACACATAGTTGGCACTTTATTGCTTAATGAATGAGCAACATCCTAACACTGATTTTGGCTAACATTTCCTGGAATTCCAGATGTCAAATCATGTTCTCCTTGGTCCCTTCAATTCTGCTTCCCTTCTTAGCTTTCCTGTCAGTGAGAATTAGATGTCCAGTCTTGAAATCTGGCCTGGTTTTGATTCTTTTTGTCTGTTTTATCCTTTAGACATTCACTTCACTTTTTTCTCCATAATGCCTCCTGCACTATTCATTAAATGCTACTGAGTTACAGATCATCTGCTCTTTTTTTTTTTTTTTTTTTTTTAGACATTCAATTTAATGTCCCTATTTAATTCAGGCTGGCCTTGAGCTCACTAAGTAGCATTGCCTGGCGTTGATTTGCAATGATCCTCCTGCATCAGCCTCCCGAGCATTGGGATTACAGGCATGTGTCACCACATCTGGCAGTAGACCATCCCCTCTTACACGAATAGATACTATTTGTGAACTTAATGTTCAGGAAGTACAGATTTTATTCACTGACTTCAGGATTTGTGGTCTGTAGGATCAATGTAGCTAACTTTTCAGACTGACACTGTCATGTGGGTTATCCCTTCCCATCCATATACTGTCACTTCCCGTCAGTATAAATGCTTTGATCAAGGCAGGCCATATTCCATGTGTTTTCCTAACTCTTATCCTACTGCAAAACCATTGTTTGTGTTCTTTCTCTTTCTCGTCCAAGTCCCGTCCTTCCTTTAGAGCCCAGTTTTGGTTCTCTCTTTGCTAAGATTTTTCTCAAGCCCAAATTGTTTTATTTCCCCGAACTTGTCTTAGTATTAATGTTCTGTCTCCCTTCATTGTGACCCTCAAACACCACCACATTGTCTTGTCACCCAGCTGTGTTAAACATAAATAGGAACATGAATAAGGATGAGGTGTCTCTTACCCTTCTTTATTCCTCTGAGGTCCTGTGAGTGCTTTGCCCTCACTGAGCACACAGTGGGCACGTGGGAATGTGTTGTAGTCGTCTTCGAGGCTCTGCAGGCAGAGCGCTGCCTCCATTGCTGTGCAGAGCGGGTGTTCTGAGGACAGTTTGTGACTGAGCAGACTGGCACAGAGTTAAGGTTGGGGCAGCCCTGCTGCCCTGTGCACAGGCAGTCTTTAAGTTGTAATTGTTTTGAGGAACTCACAGCTTCTTCACCTAATGTCAAGAAGAACTTTGAATTGGATATAGAGATGGTCAGATTTTTACATTGCATGTGTTTGGAGACCAGTAGAAGCCAGAGTTTTCATTGTCTGGTGGCTATTATAGGTTCATCACTTAGCTTCTTTGCATCCTGCCTTTAGGGGTTAATGACCGATGAAACAATATCCAATGTGCCAATCCTTATCTTGGGAAACAAAATTGACAGAACAGATGCAATCAGTGAAGAAAAACTCCGTGAGATATTTGGGCTTTATGGACAGACCACAGGAAAGGTAAGAGAAATGGCTTGAAGACGCATAGAAAGGACATTTATGGCATTTAACACTGATTGTGTGGCTATCTAGATTTTCCTTTTCTTTCAGAACTTAAACAGGTTTAGGATTTAGTTTAGTATAGGTATTTTATAAGCTCACTGAATTAGTTTAGTATAGGTATTATATAAGCTCACTGAAGGCAGGAACATGTTTTTTCTTTTTCTTTGTTTGTTTGCAGTGCTGGGGATTGAACCCGGGCCTTGCACTTACGAGGCAAATGCTGTACCACTGAGCTATATCCCCAGGCCTTGTTATTCATTTTGAGATAAGGACTTGTAAAGTTACCTAGGCCGACTTGAATGGGGATCTCCCTGCCTCAGCCTCCCAAGTAGGAAGGATTCTAGGTGTGCAATCATTCTTTCAAGAATTTTTTTTCTGAGCCAGGCATGGTGGCCTGCGCCTGTAATTCCATCACTCAGGAGGGTGAGGCAGGAAGACCGCTGTGAGTTTGATGCAGCCTGGGCTACATAGTGAGGCCTCGACTCAGAAAAACCAAAATTAAAAAAATTTTTTTAAAAGATGTTTTTTTTCTTTTGGACAGGTCTGAAGTGAAGGTGGGGTGAGGGGAAGGAAGAAGAGGAACCTTGAAGGACATAGTGAGGACTGTGACCAACACCTCTCATGATCAAATTTGAGCTGGAATTTCGTGGAGCAGAGGGACTGAGGGCAGGGAGTTGGAGGTGAAGAGAGCAAGGGACAAGAGGGAGGAGAGGCTGGGCCAGAGGAGAGACCCAACTGAGAAACTGAGACCAAGCAGGGCCCAGGAAGAAAGAAACACCATGGATCTACATCAGGGAAAGTGGGTTGGGGAGTGAATTCATTAAGGTAGTCACTCTACTAGTGCCAGGTCTTTGAGGTTCAGGGATAGATGTATTCAGGGACTAGGTCCATAATAATCTCTTAAGTCTTAAGTAAAGAAAATATAGTGTAATGCGGTAGAAATGAGATTGGTTTTATTTATTTATGTATTTTTATTCATTTTTAATTTTTTTTGTTTTGTTTTTTTGAGACAGGATCTCCCTGTGTAGTCCAGGCTGGCCTGCAACTCAGTATTTAGCCCAGGCTGGCCTCCCAATTCGTGCCTCAGCCTCCTATGTGCTGGGATTGCAGACATGCGGCACCATACCTAGTTTGAGATTTTATTTAAAAACTTTTTTTCAAATTTGATTCTGAGAAGTGTTTTGAAAGCATACTACTTAGCTTTTCAGATCAAGATTTTTGACTAGAGATTTCAGGTTATTAGGAACAATCATTTATTGATCACTAACCCTCCCGTGTTCCCCTTCCCATTTGAGTATGTTTTTCTTGTTTCCCAATATCTATCATCCATTTTGGTCCTTATTTACCCATTGGGTTTCTCATACAAGAGAAACAATGCTATATTTAAACTTGTGTGTCTGATATATTTTACTTAAAATTATGGTCTTGAGATGCATCCATTTACCTAAAAATGTCTCGTTTATCCTTTATAGCAAAGCAGTACTCTATTGTACAAAACCACATTATTTTTATCCTTTCATTTGTTGATGGGTATATGGGGTGTTTCCAAGATTTAGCTATTATAAATTTGTACTGCCATAAACATGGGTGCACATATATCGCTGTGGTGTGATGCTTTTAACTCTTTCAAGATGATACCTAGTAGGGGAATAGCTGGGTCAAATGGAACCTCTAGTTTTAGTTTTTTGAGGAATCTCCACACTGATTTACATAGTGGTTGCACCAGTCTACACTCCCACCAATAGTGGAGAAGGGTTCCTTTTTCCCCACAGCCTCTCCAGCATTTGTTATTGGTTGATTTCTTGATAATAGCCATTCTTTCTGACATGAGATGAAATCTCGTTGTTATTTTAATTTGCATTTCACAAATGACCAGGGATATTGAACATTTTTTCATGTATTTACTTGCTGTTTGTAATCCTTCATCTGAGAAGTGTCTGTTCATTTCAGATGCCCATTTTTGATTGGGTCTTTAAATTTGGGGGGTCTGATTTTGTTTGAGTTCTTTATATATTCTAGATATTAGTCCTTTGTCTGAGGAGTAGCTGGTAAAATTTTTTTTGCATTCTATGGATTGTCTTTTCAGTCTGTTGGTGGTTTCTTTTGCTGTGCAAGTGATCGTTCTTTGAAGCTTTTCTGCTGCAGAGATGCTAATGGGCCTTCTTGGTTTTGCCTCCACAGGGCAACGTGACTCTGAAGGAGCTGAATGCCCGCCCCATGGAAGTGTTCATGTGCAGTGTGCTCAAGAGGCAAGGCTATGGCGAGGGCTTCCGCTGGCTCTCCCAGTACATTGACTGATGTTGGGACAGTGAAAATAAAAGAGTTTTACTCCTCTGGACTGATCCTATTCACAGCTTCCTCATGAACTTTTCTAATAGAACAAGGACAGCTCTCCAACCATGTCTGGCGTTGAGAAGCCAAGAGTCTTTGTCAACTCTCATCACCCAGTGGTGACATGTGCTCTTCTCCACACTGTTGGAAGGTAACACTGCCCCACGTGCTGGTGGAAGCCAGTATCCCGGGACTGGAAGCTGGCAGGATTTGCCAAGTAAAGCTGTATGCCATCATGGGACACCTGAGAAGAAAAACACGTCTCACCACTGTGGTTGATTTCAAAAGAAAGTGATTCTATTTTTTAAAGAAAGCATTGTTAATGTAATTGATACCCCTCCCAACTTTTTGCGTTACAGTTTACTTGGTCCAGAGTTTTCTATTCTTTTTTTTTTTTTTTAACTAGTGAATGGCATTTAGATATTTCGTGAAATTATGAACACATGCACATTGGAGGCCAGAGCTCAGAGGGGTGAACTTACTCCTGCTGAGTTAGCAGGTTGGTGAGAGAAGCTCCCCTGAGCTCCCTGTCTCCCTAACTGCCTGGTAGGAGGTGGCGTCAGCTTGGCGTGGAGAGCTAGGGAGGGGACAGAGCCCTGTTCTTGTGGTTGTGGCAAGTGTCCACTGTGGTCAGCTAGAGTCGTTCCTCATCACAGAGTGAGTAGCAGATTGTGCATTGTGGAGGAGTTAATTATAAAGGGATTGTTGTTGTGTTATTTTTGCTTACAAAGTTACAAATTTCAGCCCAACTTTGCTTTTACACTGTTGTGAAATTGCATTTTTCTCTGTAGTACCTTCCTTTCTCATTTTCCATTAATAAAAAGTTGAGGACATCTCTCATGCAGTCACGTTCTGCTGCTGTGCCTTAGTTGCCATCGTAGGGATGGGCGCACGGGATGTTCTGAATAGGAGGGCACAGGACAGAGCTCTCAGCCTAGAGGGTTTATGAGGATGTAAACATCTGGTGATTTGGCATCTAAGTAAATCTAGGAAAGACTTTCAGTGGGCTTTAAAATTCTACTCGTGGGATTGATTTCTCAGGCTGTTAATGAGCTGTTTTTTCCTCCTTATTGGTTATCTGTTTTGTTGGTGTTTAAAGTAAAGGTCAACATCTGTAGCTTTTACAGATTTTTTCTTTTTGGTATGAAATTGTTCTTGCCTGTTCCAGATATAAGCTGGAGAAAACCCTAGCGCAAGGACTTTCTGTGGAGCTCTTCCCTTGGAGGCCACCTCCCTGACATCAGTGATCTCCCAGTTCAAAAGCAGCAGCCCCATGAGGGCCACAAGCATTATTTTCCTAGCATTCCATTTCCTTAATGCCACTTAGGAAATTGGATTTTCATAGTCTTAACCTATATTCTACCCTGGTAGGAAAGATGAAAGGATAGGAGATGGCTTAAGATGAGAAGTTATCTTTGTTGGCTTTCCCTTTAATAAAAAGTCAGGTAGTTTCCTTGAAATTGAAAATTGTGATGATGCTTCTTGGCAGAGGATTGAACTCAGTTCAGGGGATTCCTGCTTCGGGTGGGAGGTAGTATGGATAACATACTCCTGGTTGGATCTCTCATTGTTGGGCTTCAGTACTGACCTGTTGGGAAAGCATCCTTTTTGGCATCAAGTATGTATGGAACTTGGAGGCTCAATGAGGTTTGAGCTTGGGAAGGGCATGCATTGCATTGATAGTGGGGATGGGCAGATTAGGACGAGATAGCTGGTTTGAAAGGAGTAAAGCCTTAAGCAAACAAGTCTAGCTAACAGTGGATGAACTGGGCAGTTAACTTGCATATTTTTATTTCCTTTGGCTAAAGGTTGCTCATACTCTCTGTCCAGGGACATGAGAAGTATGATTTCTTCAGTGTTAGTTTTCTTTATTTTTTTCTACCTGCCCCTAATCACTTTGTAACAAGCTAGAAAACTGTGGGCTCTAAATAGGGCAGCTCTTTGTGAAAGTGGTTTATTTTGGCCACCGGAGAAAGAGGATTGCAAAGTCACGTCAAACCAGCCTGTGTTTTCCCCACAACACCACTGGTATCTGAGGTAGCTGGAAGAGGCTGCTGCAAGGAGCACAGCCTCTGACAGGAGCTCCCACAAATTGAGATTTCTCATTCTGTTTTATCAGAGTGCACAAATGTCCTATTTCAGGAAAAGTAAAACAGTCATTTACAAAAGAAAGTCTGTATCCTAAGCATTTTAATAAAAACTTAAACAAACTTCCTACTTCTGCTTTTTTGCCATTGATTTGTTCTCAGTTTGAGCAGACAGGATGTTTTGATTGAGGGAGGAAAAACGAAGTTCTTCCCTATGTACAGGACTAAACTTGTAGGGTGGGTGGATATGAGAGACTTCAGTTTCAGTATCAGGGAAGCATATGCCAGGCCACCAGAGGTAGCAGACTTAATGATGTTTGAAAGCCTTGGAGCAGCCTGTGGACCCTGGGTCATCGATCTCTGCAGCAGGGAGGGGTGGCAGATGGATGCTGGGTAGTAGAGACCTGTTTGGCTGTGCTTCACTTAGCATTTTCAACAATACTGAAGAGAACTGAATACTACCCTTGGCAAAAACAGGTGGGATTCTCTCCTGTGCATTTAATAGGCATGTACGAAGCCTTGCTTTTCTTTATCTTTTTGAAACAGGGCCTTGTTATGTAGTTCATGCTATGCAGGTCTTGAACTTGCTGTATCTCAGGCTGGCTTCAGACTAGATCTTCCTGCTTCAGCCTCCTGAGTGCTGGGATTATAGCTGTGCTCCGCCATACCCAGCTGATGCCTTGCTTTTGTTGTGCCCCCCCCCCCCACCAGGTACCAGGGATCAAACTCAGAACCTTGCACTTGCAAGGCAGGCTTGCTGCTACTGAGCTAAATCCCCAGCCCCTAATGCCTCACTTTTGGAAAACCCCAAATGAGATTCCAAAACTAAAGTATTAGGACAAGTAGCCTGGGAAACAAATTGCAACAAGTCCTCTCCAACTAAAGATTAATGTCCCTGTTGCTATGACAGAGGCCATGGTTCTTTGGGTTGGTGGTTTGTTTTGTTGGAGGGCAAGTGGAAAGTGAGGATCAAAGGCCGAGTCAGCCTTGCCTGTGGTGGGTCCTGGCTGCTACTGGCTGTCATTGGGACTTCTCTGTACTATGGTCTGCCATTAGCACAGAAACTTGACCAGTTTGTGCTGGAGGCTTGAGCATCATCAAGGGAGAATTACTGGACTCTAGAGAGAAAAAGTCTTAACCGGTAGGAAGTTGGGATAGGTAAGAGACTTTGCTGTGATCAAGCCATTTTCTGTGTCACAAAACCAAGACAGTGCCTTCTACAGAAAGACAGCTTACTTCTAGTCTTGAAAACAAACTCAAACAGGTTTGTGTCACCAGGAGTTTTGGGAACATACCATGTGCTGTGCTGGGGATATACCAAGCAGCACTCATTTTATTCAAAGAATCCATGCAAAAATTCATTTAACAACTGAATATCATTAGTGCTGACAGATGTGTACTAGTTATAAAATTGAACCATGTATTTTAGTGATACAGTGATAGAAGAGCAGGCCTTCATAAAATGTCTTGCTTGTGGTGACTGCTTTGGGGATATCCTGAGGTTCCCCAAACATATGTCTTCATGTTCACCTGTCTTCAAGGATACTTCTTTCCAAAAGTAGGAAGTTTTATGGTAGCCTAAATGAGAGAAGTGATACTGTAGTTTGTGGGCCAAAACTCTCCTGCTGCCCGTGTCCTAGATTGGTTTTTACACTTTTAGATGGTTGAAAAAAAGATGTTATTTTGTAACACATGAAAATTAAATGAAATTCAAATTTATAAGATTTTCTTGAATACAGCCACCACCTTCAGCTTTTGTGTGCTACAACTGCAGAGTTGAATATTTTGAGGCAGAATTAATGGCCTGCAAAAACTTGAACTATTTCCATTCTGGACTTTTAGAAAAAAAGGGTTTGGCCTCTGACTTACATAAATCCTGAGTCGTGATTATAAATGTCATTCTAGGAAATGTGTACACTAAACTATAGGGTTGTAAGATTCGTTTTTAGTATATGTGCTGCCGAAGCGAGCACGTACGATTCGTTTTTTTACTTTAGCTACTGTTTGTCAGTTAAAGGACAGTTAATTTAGAGTAAACCCACTTTCCCTGAGATTTGTCCTGTTGGAGCTTTGGCGACAAAGGGTCATAAAAGTAATTTCATGAGTTCCATGCCCCCTAGTGGACTGCTGTAAAATGACAACACAAGTTGACTATTCCCTGGCCCACAGGGCTCAGAGGGTGAAGGTCCTACCCCTGTGCCGACGCTGACAGCTCTTGTCAAGGCCTGGGCACCTCTAGCCATGTCAGTGCTCGGTGCTGTTACCAAAACCCTGCAGACGAGAGGCTGGGCTAGCGGGACCCGCCCTCCTCTCCTCGCATCTCACCTCATCCCCTCGTAACGCCGCACGCCTGTCATTCTCCCAGGGCTGGTCCTGGGGCACAGCTGCTTCTAAAATCCCACAGGTTGAATCAACCAAGGAGGGCGGGGACAGGAGGGAATCGGCATTAGTAGCCAATCAGAGTTCGGTGCCATGCGCAGCCAATCGGGTGGGAGTTAACGGAGTTTAGCCAATCGGGCTCGACGAGGAAGCTGGGTGTCAGTACTTGCGCCTCGCGTCCAGCCGTGGGTTACCCTGCGCTGGGTCGCCCGCCCTGCGGGGGTCCTGGCTCCCTCGTCCTTCCTCCCGCAAGCCCTGGGTGTCCGGTCCCCGAGGCCATGGGGCGGCAGTGGGGGCCCTCCGTGAGGGCGGCCGCGCAGGCGGGCTGCGTGGTGAGCGCCTCCCGGGCCGAGCAGCCCGAGGCGGGCTTCTGGAGCTGCAGCGGGGTCATCCTGACCCGCAGCCCGGTGCTGGTGCTGTGCCACGGGGGGATCTTTACCCCTTTCCTGCGCGGGGGGAGCGGGGCCCTCACCTCGGCCGACGCCACCTTCCTGCCTGCCGACAGTTGCGGCGACGACCTGCGCCTGCACGTGCAGTGGGGGCCAACGGCCGCGAGTTCTGCGGGCCGCGCGGAGCAGGGCCGCCCTGGGCTGTGCACGTCCCGCTGCGCCAGTCTCGAGCCCGGCCCGGCCGCGCAGCCCGGCGGGCGACTCCTGGAGCCCCCGCGCGCGGCCGAGCTGCTGCTGCTGCTGAGCTGCCCGGCCTTCCGGTCCCAGCTCGCCCGCCTCTTTGGGAGCAAGAGGGCCGAGCAGTGGCGCTTCGCCAGCGCGGCTCCGGTCGAGGAGGTGTCGGGGGACGAGGAGGAGGACCAGCTGCGGGGGCTGGGCTGGTTCGCGCTGCTGCGCGTGCAGCCCGGCGGGGAGGCCAAGGGGGAGGCGGCGCGCGGGCTGGCCGTGACCGTGGCGCCCCTCGGGGCCGTGGCCAAGGGCGCGCCGCTGCTGGCCTGCGGCTCCCCGTTCGGGGCCTTCTGCCCGGACATCTTCCTCAACACGCTGAGCCGCGGCGTGCTCAGCAACGCGGCCGGCCCGCTGCTGCTCACCGACGCGCGCTGCCTGCCCGGCACCGAGGGCGGCGGTGTATTCTCGGCGCGGTCCGTGGGGGCGCTGGTGGCGCTGGTGGCCGTGCCGCTGTGCTGGAAGGCGAGCGAGTGGGTGGGCCTCACGCTGTTGTGCGCCGTACCCCCTCTGCTCCGCGCTGCCCGCGCCGCGCTCACCCACCTGCCGGATGGCGCCGCCCTGGCCGCCCTGCTGCCGCCCGAGGTGGGCGCCCCGCGGGGCCTGCCGCTGCGAGACCCCAGACCTCCTTGGGTAGCTTCGGCTGTGCTGGTGGAGTTTGGCAGCGTGTGGGGTTCTGGAGTAGCCATGGCGCCCCGCCTCGTGGTGACCTGCCGGCATGTGGCCCCTCGGGAGGCGGCCAAGGTCCTGGTGCATTCTGCCACCCCCAAGTAAGGCTCCAGGGGCTGCCCCACTCTGCCCCTCCCCGGGTCTCGGGTGTGGGTCCAGGCCTTCCACTCTGAGGATGCTTTGCGCACACAGCGTAGGACCTTCCCTCATCCTTGACACCCAGAACCGAGCTCCTAGCACCTCTGAAATTAGGAGCCTTGTGGCTATTGCATGCAGGTGGGAGTCTGAGCTCCTTGTGGAAATCTGTTCCTTCTGGGCAGTTTCTCTACCTCCTAGCCCTACACCTCACACCCCACTAAGCCCTTTGACCAGAAATTCACCAACCTACCCTCTTCAACCCTGAAAGAGACAGTGAAGTCCCTGGGGCTGGGGATGCTACCCTCCTGGGCTAATCTTTAGCCAGGCTGCCCTCCTGGGTGGAAATTACAGATATGGACTCTCCCTAATTAGAGCGCAGGGCAGATGTGCATATTCAGAACAGTGTTGAGTTGACCCTAGGCAGCCAGGTGGACTTTGGGCAGTCACTTGTTCCCTCTGCTGGGAAAAGCACCTTTGCTCTACTTCACTTCCACTTGCTCTGGCAGTGGGGACAGTGGCTTTCTCATATGTGTTCTTCTCTCTGACGCCTCAGGGGCTTGATCAGGCCCAAGCTAAGCAGTGGAGCACGTGGTGTTAATGCCCAGCCTTTCCCTTACCAGGCTCAACCCTGCTTTCCGCACAGGCCTTTGCAAATCCCTCCTCTCCCAGCCCAGCTTTGCCACAGTGGTCCCACTGGTAGCTGGCAAGATAGCCATGATTTTATAGGGAAGACTGATGAAATTTCCCTGTGATGTGGCCCTTGGCTCCTCACCCTCCCCACCACTCTTGTGCCTAAGGAAATGTAGTAAGATGTTCTCACGTGATCTTGTGCAGGTCACAGTTTTGCTTAAGCTGTCTCCCTGTGAGTTCACATGTAACATCTTGGACCAGAGCCTGGCACATAGTGTGCTGTGGAGGCGCTAGCATGTATGTGAACAGGGACCCAGAGGGGTGGAAGCACATCATGCCTTCTCTGGCTCCCAACACTTGCTCTGTAACCTTGGGATGGTTACTCAATCTTTCTGAGCCTCCGTTGCACCATCTAAACTGGAGATAACACCAGTGCCTAGTTACAGGTTTATGAAGACTAAATGAGATGATGTCCCCAAGGTGTCAACTCCAGGTCTGGCCCACAGGGGTCACTAGATGTCAGGTGTGCGTTTTCATGGTGAGGTACAGGAAGCTTTGCCATGAACTACGCTGCAGTTTGGAAAGCATGTTTGGTTAAGTGACTTGCCCAGGGCTGCCTGGCTGGTAGGTCTCGTAGCTGACACCCAGATCTTTGGACTCAAGTCCATGACTCTTACTGTTACTCTCCTCTGCTTGCTTCCTCCCTGGTGCTGAAGGGGCAGAAAGCCTGTCATTTGTTTCCCTTGCTCCCAGGAGTGTGGCGATTTGGGGACGTGTGGTGTTTGCCACCCAGGAGACATCTCCCTACGACATAGCAGTGTTGAGCCTGGAGGAGGACCTAGACGGTGTCCCCATGCCTGTGCCTGCTGAGCACTTCCAGGAAGGTAAAGGTCAAAGGACACAGCTTGAAGAAGGAACCCTCTGGTCTGGGCTGGACCCTGGGAAGGACACCATACCAGACCAGGTGCCCACTCCTGTCCCTACCCCTGCTGAGTTAGGGAGCCAGGGTGACATAGCTGGGGTTCTTGTTAGAGGCCTCCCACTGTAGTAGCACAGCCCAGGGGCTGGGGGCAGATGGGGTGCTGGGCCTTGGCGGGCTCCTCCTGACACTTCAGGCTGGTCAGAGGAGCAGGTGGCGCCTTTGAGGCACCATTTAGTACAGGGCTTTGAGATGCTCCCATGTAGGTACCGGGTTCCCTCTTTCCTGGAATCAGTGTGATATGGCAATGAGGAGGACAGGGGCTGCCACCTGGTGTCCTTGGATGGACTCATTCTCTGCCTCAGTTTCCCCACTTACCTGTTCTCTGCCTCAGTATCCCTCTCTGTGAAAAGGGCTGACATGCCTTCCTCCTGGGCATGCTGAGGACTGGGAGAGGTGGGCCTGTATTGTGCTCAGTGCTGTGCTCTGCTCTGCTCCTGCAAAGCATTTGGGGAAGGAAACAGGTGGCTGCTTGGTGGCCATCATCACTGTTTCTTTTTGTCAAGATTCTTTTTTTGGTACCGGGGATCGAACTCAGGACCTTGCACTTTTGAGCAGGCGGCGGCACCACTGAGCTAAATCCCCAGCCCTTCAGCAAGATTCTTGTTGGTCCCAGGAGGAGCTGAATATTTCACATTTATTGAGCACCTAGCTAGTTGATAGGAACCCCAAAAAGTGACTGCCTTGTCTGGTGACTCTGAAGATGTAGTCCAGCAGACGCAGTGCTGGGAACTCATTGGAGTCCTGGCTTCTTCCTGTGGTGGGTGCTGGGGGGCTCCCTGGAGGTGGCAGTCTCTGAGCAGAACTCAAAGGGCAAAGAAGGTTTGGACTTCAAGAGAGGACAGGGTTGGGTGGGGAGCGAGGTCCCGCTTCAGCCTTCTCCCTCCCTGGCAGGTACCGCTGTCAGTGTGGTTGGCTTCGGTGTCTTTGGCCAGGCCTGTGGGCCCTCGGTGACCTCGGGCATCCTGTCGGCTGTGGTGCAGGTGGATGACACACCGGTGATGCTGCAGACCACGTGTGCCGTGCACGGTGGCTCCAGTGGGGGACCCCTCTTCTCCAGCCCCTCGGGAGACCTCCTGGGTAACCAGCCCCTTGGCCCTCTCCACCCCCCGCCCCCCATTAGAGCCTCGCCCCACCCATGGACTGTTCTGTGTCCAGCCTAGGGAGGGCCCTCTGGCTGGGGAGACCGTGGGCCTCAGGCCCAGAGTTAGTGCCCAGAGTTTCCAGGCTGCTCTGCCTCAGGGGGTGGAGAGGGAGGGAGCCGAGCTAGGAGGGAAGAGATCTAGGCCCTGGGCCCTTCTCTGCCACTAATCTGCTGTGTCACCTGAAGTGAGTCAGTTAATCTCACTTGATCTCTGAAATTGAAGAGTTGAATTAGTCCAAGGGTCCGGAACTCAGCAGTGTACAGAGGGCAGGGAGGTAAATGAATGAAGAGGAAGTGGAGGTGAAGGGTCAGGGGTCAAGTAGGGTGAAACCTGCACAGCTGCAGCAGGTTGTGGCCATAAAAAAATGTGGCCTAGGATATTTCAGAAGAAGCTGGGAACTTTTAAATCTCTTTCAATAATGGCCAGGTGTGGCAGGTGGCATGTGCCTGTAATTCCAGCATTTTGAGACGCTGAGGTAGGAGAATTGTAAATTTGATCCTGGTCTGGGCAATTTAATAACTTAGCGAGGCCCTGTCTCAAAATAAAAAAATAAAGAAAAGCCTAGGAATATAGCCTAGTGTGAAAGTGCTGAGTTCAATCCCCAGTATTGCAAAACAAAACAAGAAAACTATAAAACTAACAAAAAAATCGATTTTTAAAAACTTGTAACTCAAATTTTGTTGTTGTTGTTGGGTTTTGGGTTTTTTTTGTTTTTTTTTTGAGACAGGATCTCAAAAAGTTGTCCAAACTGGCCTCAAACTAGCTATGTAGTCCAGGCTGGACTCGAACTCCTGAGTGCTGGGATTACAGGTGTGTGCCACCATGCCTAGCAAGTTTTTAAAACAGTCATTTAGATATTGTTAGAAAGCAAAGTGTGAATCCATGTAGAAACCTCCAAGATTCTATATGTAGTATAACTTGGTTTATACTAACCTTTATTATTCCTGCCTTTCCTTATTTTTCTCTTATAGTGAAAAATGTAGCTCTTGCTGTCTACAATATATGTATGTATTTGTCCAACTGTACATACCAACCATAGTATATATGTATACTATTCCTAGTATACAAAGAAAGTAGGGTAAGAATTGCCAACCCACATCCCTGTGAGCTGTAGATGTAACCAGGAGAGCACAGGGCTTGAATGTGCATGTGCAGTGGTTCTTGTCTTTAGGTTTAAAGTATCCAAGCAAAGCTCCACTGTCCAAAGTACTCAGATTATGTTGCTTATTTGTAATACAGTTAGAGTTACTTGTCAGAGGTTTTCCCCATGTCTATTTTTCCCCATATCCTGGTTGATTTAAAACCACCTATATCGCCTAGTGAACACAGAAGTAAATAGTGTTGTGTGTACACAAGTTAGCAGTCACATAGTCTCTGTCTCCCAGCTCTGTCCACTGAAAGGGGCCGGGAGCAGTGACATCCCAGGCATAATGAGCACACCTAGAACTCAGTTCTTGGGGTCTTTGTTTTTAATGGCAACTGTTTAAGTTTTTCTTTGTTTATTAGTATATGTTTGTAGTATATAATGTTTACGTTCCTTGTGTGAAGTTGGTACATGCACATAATAACATCTTCATTCCTTTTTTTCTTCCCCTATCCCCTCCCTCCCTCCCACCCTCCTTCCTTCCTCCTCCATCTCTTTCACAAATAGGTCCCCTTCCTATTTGAGAAAGATTGATCTCCTTACTTCCTATCATCTATCTTTTATCTTGCTCTTTACTTATACTTTGGGTTTCTCAGATAAGAGAAACCATGTGATATTTAAGCTTGTGGGTCTGATTTATATCATTTAACATTATGGTCTCAAGATGCATCCATTTTCCTACAAATGACTCAAGTTTAGCTGTCTTTATAGCAGAATAGTACTCCATTATGTGTAAATACCACATTTTCTTTATTCATCTGTTGATGGGCATATAGGCTGCTTCCCAGATTTAGTTATTAGGAATTGTGCTGCTATAAACATGAGTATGGATGTGTCCAGATCTTGGATTCTAAATACCTTTCTGTAACAAAAGGAACCAAGGCCTGACTCATTCATTTGTTCATTAAGCAGATGTTTGCTAGGCCTACTCTGGTAGGCACTGTTATCAGTACCAGAGAAACTATGTGGATAAAACAAGTTGACCAGATAAGGAAATCCAGAGTGTGTGAGATGCAAGTGGTGTTAGGGAGAGCAGAGCTGAAGAGGGGATGGCATGGGGAGCAGGTGCTGTGACAGGAAGCTCAGTGTCTGTCACTGGGGGGAGTTTCAAGCTCCCAGCAGGCCCCAGGGGTGCAGAATGGAGACGGTCCTCCCTGTGACAGCTGTCTGTCCCCTGGCTCACGTCCTCCTCTGCTTTCTGACCCCCCTGACAGGCATTGTCGCCAGCAACACCCGGGACAATAACACAGGGGCCACTTACCCACACCTGAACTTCAGCATCCCCATCACGGTGCTCCAGCCAGCCCTGCAGCAGTATCGTCAGACTGGGGACCTGGGTGGCCTCCGAGAGCTGGACCATGCCACCAAGCCGGTCAGGGTGGTTTGGCGGCTGCAGTGCCCCCTTCCCATGACCTTGAGGAGCAAGCTCTGAGCCACCCTCTAGGGACAAGAGGGACCATTGTATACCGCAGGAAGTGATGAGGTGGTGGCTGCCCTAGGGTCCAAAGCCTGCTCCTGACCAGTCATGTCCCAGCAGGGCCACCTCGTTTCCACCTGTTGCCCACAGACTGAGCTCTGGGCCCCAGGACAGACTTCTCTCCAGCCCCGTGGAACCTCAACCTGGCAACCCAATTTTGGGGCGCTTCCTTGAGCCAGTACTTCTCTCTGCCCCCAGTACTAGACTCAGCCATGTTATTTTCCTTCTGGAGATCCGGGTGGAATGGCACAAGAGCACAGGTCCTGGTAGGAAGATGCTGCTCTGTCTCCCTGATGGCCACTGGCCGTGTCTGCCTCTGTCATGTGTGCTGGCAGCCCTGGAGTTTGCTCAGGGAACCTCAGCACAGGGCCCTGCTCTGCCACATGCCGCAGGCAGGCCGGTCCCTGAGCTGGGGTGCCTGGTCTTCACTCTGACACAGTGCCTTCATTTGCCAGCCCTGGCCTGAGTCTCAGGGATAGAGTGGGTAGAATGTGTGGTTGCGGCTTAGAAATAAACATGAACTATCTGTATAACCACTGTGCTTTGCTAGGTTGTATTTTTTTTTTCATCAGTTCAGTAGGGAAAGAAAATGCACCATGCCTGGGCTGCTTTCTGGGCAGGGTTTGGTCTCCGAGTATGCTCTTCTGCCAGGCTGGCCCTGGGAGTCAGCCACGTGCCAGGCAGCACCCGAGAGTGCTGTTTCTAACACCTAGTTGTTGAATGCCAACTCTGGGTGGCAGCAGAGCACTCCCAGCGTGCTTGTTCTTCCCTTTGCAGATTAGGAGCAGGCGCAGAGGGCCAGATTAGTGTGAGAAGTCCTATGTGGTAGCAGGGGGCTGGATTCAAGGTCTGGGAGTAGGGAGGGGGTTTATTCCAGCATGTGTGACATCAAGGTACTCATAGGATGCTCTGGGGATTCTGTGTCCACCCATTGGTGCAGTGAGCTGTGTGGCATTTTCCATGGAAGAATATGTCCAAGGGTCCAGAGAGGGCGACCAAGTATGAGTTCATCAAGGCAACTCAAGAGCTAACTGTGAAAGGGTTGTTCAGGGTGTACTAAGGAGACTGGAAATGGGGAGGTTGTTCCAGGCCGAGAACAACAGGAGGTGGGACAAGGGAGTATGGAACTACTTGCTTGTTCCAGGAGGGCTAAGCAGAGAGGAAATTGGAAAATGTCTAACCAGGAAGGGAGAGTTCGCTTTTGTACAGTAGTAATGGAGGGATCCAGGTGCCTTCCCTCTTGTGGCATTGGTTTGGGGCCCTGGAGTCCTCAACTAGGTCCTCTGTACCTGGCTGGTGAGTGGGGTAGAGAGACAGGAGAAGCCGGGCATGGTAGTGCATACCTGTAATCTCAGAACTTGGGAGGCTGAGGTGGGAGAATCACCACGACTTTGAGGCCACCCTGGGGTACATAGTAAGTTCAAGGGCAGCCTGAACTACATAGCAAGACCCTGTCTTAAAATAAAATGGACAGAAGGAACCCCTGTTTCATTCATTCATTTACTTGTTTTTATCTTCCCTGCCCCCTGCTTTTATTTTTTATTTTTTTTGGTACTGGGGATCGAACTTGGGTCTTTGCGCTTGTGCAGCAGGCAGCGAAACCACTGAGCTAAATCCCTGGCCCTCCCCTGCTTCTTTTAAAAAATAATTTTGCTTTGAAACAATTTGAAGTTCACAGAAAAGCCCCCAAATCCCCATATACCCTTTACCCAGGGGCCCCATTAGACTTCAGCAGGTGATTATTCTTTGTAACTAAAAGATCTAATTTGGGATCACGGGCAATGGCCACCATCCTGTTGGCCCTCAACTCAGAGGAGCTCCTCATTTCTCCTTGAGTCTCATGCCCTTGACTTTATGAAGACAGCAGGGCAGTCGTTTCCTATGCTGTCTCTTCACTGGGATCGGTCCGGACAGCCACAAGATTAGATGTAGATCCGCATCTTTGGCAGGCTTACCCTAGAAGCAATGTCATCTCTTCCTGTGTCCTCTTGGGTGGCACACGATGTCTACTTGTCCCATCAAGATGATGTTAATGTGGGTCACTTGAGTAAGATAGTGCCTGTTAGATTTCTCCACCGTAAATTTCCCATTTTTCCTCTCCAACTAAAAAATAATTTGTGCAGAGGTACTCAGACTATACAATATACTGTTCCTTATCTTACTTTAACCTGTGAGGTTTAGCATCCACTGATGTTTTCTGGTTGAATAACTGTATTGTTGGCCAATGCTAATTATTCCCATCATTCCTCTTACCCTTATTTATTTATTGCATAAAACACATTTATTTCATAATAGAGTTAAATACTAGTAAGGCTAAATTCATTTTATATAATATCTAATATTATATGACAGTCTAGAAAAGGGTCTTCTGGGCAAAAAGGAATAAGGAAGAAAGTCATGACGTAGGGAAGCAGCAATTTCAGAGTTGGGCTTTGGAAAAGCTGCTGCCTACACCGTGAGTGTGGTCAGATTTCAGCTCCTTGAATGAGAAAAGTCACAGAAACTGAGCAGGGCGAACACTCAAGCAAGAGAGGACTCCTGGAGAGGACTGAAGGCGTCAGCTCCTGGCCTCCGAGTGTTAATCCATAGAGAAACACCTGAACACACACGTGTACATGTACACACACACAATGGGAACCAGAAGACTGACTCTGAAAGGTAATTTGGATGATGCCCTTAAAGATTATGAAAACAAACTAAGAATCTTCTACCCTTATTTATTATTGTTGTTATTTTGTGATACTGGAGAGCAAATCTGGGTCTTTCACACTGTTAAATCCCTACCCCCCCTTTTTTGGTACCTGGGATTGAACTCGGGTCCTTGCGCTTGTACAACAGGAGGCGAAACCACTGAGCTAAATCCCCAGCCCTCCTACCCCTTTCTAAAATTTTGTATTTTGAGATGAGGTTTCACAAAGTCTAAGTTGTCCAGGCAGGGCTTGAACTTTTGATTGTCCTGCCTCAGCCTCCCACAGTGCTGGGATTACAGGCAGGGTCTCACCATGTAGTTTAGGCTGGCCTTGAACTTGCAGTGATCCTCCTGCTTCAGCTTCCAGAGTGCTGGGATCACAGGCGTTCGCCACCATGCTCAACTTACATACTTTAAAAAGGTGAAGCTTTTGGCATGTGAATTATATCTTAATTTTAAAAACCATTCCTTTACCAAACATGGGTGAATTCCTAGGGAACCTGGTGCTGGGGTCAGTGCCAGACACTGGTGACTCACAGTCCAGCAAAGTAAGTCCGCCCCAGATAGCTGATCTAAAGTTTCCTTGTCTTCTTGGTGTCACAGTTTAACACCTGAACTATTTTTCTCTTGGAATTTTAGGAAAAAAAAAGGAGATGAAGCTATTTGGAAGTGTGCAAAGCTTAGGACAAATGCAGGGCTCACTGGGCCTGGCAGATCCCGAATTCAGCCAGTGGCTTCCCCGATAGATCCCTGCCAGGCAGAATGAGAACAGGCTGACCCATGGGTCTTCTACTTGTACACTTCAGCCCCGGAGGCTTAGAGAAGAGGGCCGAGACTCCCACCCCTCTGACTGTAATCCTCTCTTTATCCGGATGTACTGGGCAGTGCTGCTCCGGTAAAGGAAGAGGCAGGGATTACAGAGAACTGGATTCGGCCTGTGCTTTCGAGCTGATGAGAGCACGGTGCTCCTGGAAGGACAGAAACCTCTCTCCCAGCAGGAGATGATTCTGGTCACCAGTGTCTTCTAGGTGGACTATCAGAAAGCTCCCTGTCTCAAGAGTACTGGGTAAAAAGTTCTTTGCAGCTTTTAGAAAAAGGGACAGAAATGGCTCCTGGGAAGGTGAAGGGCAGTATTCAGAAGAGTTGGCACCCAACCAAACCAAAATCCCTAAATGCATTTTTGAACATAAAACATGCTTTTGTACATTTGCAAAAACTTCTTTATTATAGTTGTTCTCTTCTCTTTTCTTTTGGTTGAGACAGGGTCTCACTAAGTATTCCAGGCTGGCCTTGAACTCGCTATGTAGACCAGGGTGGCCTCGAACTCACAGCGATCCTCCTGCCCCAGCCTCTTGAGTGCTGGGATTACAGGTGTGCACCACGATGCCCAGAGTTATTAAAAAAAAAAAGTGCTGGATTCCTTCCAGATCTTCATCTTGCCTCAGGGTCTTTGCCCTCTGGAACACAGCTTCCTCTCTCTCCTCATTTTACTAGGGAAAGCTTTGCACCCTTCTCTGCTTCCAGTCTTTACCGTAAGTGGTGTTCTTCCACGAAATAGAAACCATGCCTGTTTTGCTGTTTTCCCCCCTACGCCTAACACAGTGTCTAGCTTACAGTAGGACCCATGAGCAGCTTTAAGGGTAGGCGTCTCTCAGTAAAAAGAATTAATATGTATTGTTATGCACACGTACCACCTGCCCACAAGGAATATAATCATTATGCACTACAGACGTGTAATAAGAATGTAAGGGTAAGTGTTTACCAGCACCGAGCCAAGTCTTAAGGGTTCGAGCAGGGCTGGGGCTTGGAGCCTGGCCGACCAGAGAAGGAGAAGCCCTCGGAGCGTTTGCTGCAAGCAGCCCTGGGCTCGCAGTCAAGGTCAGTCCCCTGGCCTTGGGCCGGGCCCCAGGAGGGCGTGGCCGGGCCACGGGGCGGGGCCGCGGGGGGGTGTGTGTGGGTGCGGGTCCCGCCCAGTCCACCCGGGCCCTGGGAGGTCCGGGGCCGGAAGAGGCCCGAGGCTCTGAGCGGTTGGGAGCCAGAGCGGTAGCAGGAGCAGGAGCGCCGGCGTGGGCGCAGCGGGAGGCGGCGGAAGGTGAGGTCGCGCCACGGGCCCATAGAGTGTAGGGCTGGACAGGGCGATCCCAGGAGGCCGTGGGGAGGTCGGGATGCAGAGTCGTGGCTTTGGGAGGACAGGGCTCTTGCCTCCAATGTGCGTTTCAGGCCTGCAGCTCCGCACATCCCCCCAAACATAAGAGGGAGGTTTATACCTGCCCAAGGCAGAGCAACTCCTCCCCCCGCCCCATCCCTGCTAAGTCTTTCCGAGAAAGATGGACCCAGGCCAGGAAGAGCCAGGAAGCTGAGGTCACTGGGCCCTGTGTTTCTGAGGCTGGTGTCCGAGGGCAGGGTTAAAACCTCCGCCTCTGGGGAGGAAAGTGACAGCACCGGGAGGGAGGCCGTGTAGGACAGAGACCACCGTGCTGAGTCCGGATGGGACGCCTGAACTTGGCCTGAAACTGCTGTCCTGGGCGCTGTCAAGCCCCACCCATTCAACAGCTGGCCTTTCTGTCCAGCCAGAGCCTCTGTTACCCAGGGATTTTAGAGGGGCAAGGTGGCCTGGGAGCTGATGGTCCTGCAGGAGGACAGGTGCAGGCAGAGGGTCATAGTTTGGGAAGGAACTTACAGGTCTCCCAACTCCGCACCTGTGCGCTCAGGAGAGAATGTTCCTCTAGCCTGTTTGCAGGGGGTCGTTGCTAGACACCCACCCCCACGCCGCCTGCTGTCACTCCAGTATCTAGGGAGGAGTACTTCCAGGGGTGCCCTGTGTGGCCAATGATCTACACACCCCCATTTCATATCGGAGGACACTGAGGTCCAGCCGGGTCAGGGCCTTGCCCAGGACTATCAGCCCTTAAGTCATAGAGCTGGGCAGCTGAGTGCCCAGGGCCAGCTGGGTCTTTGCTGGAGCAATAAATGAGGCCAGGGTCCAGGTGCACATGCTGGCAGACATAGGACTGTTATGGGGACCACAAAGTGACCAGCTCCGGGGAGGATGGACCTAGGTTTTGGGTACAGGAGTGTATATGACACCCAAATGGGCCTATCTGCCCCAGAGTTGCCCTCTCCTAGGGCATGAAAGGGGACTGTCCCCTGTTCAGACTCTGAGTCTCTTTCAGAGATTGGCTTTCTTTAGGGTACATTTAGGTTGTTTGCTGGAGGACTGGCCACAGAGTGCCCACTCTCAGCCTGGTCTTTGGTGTCCAGGGAGGGAGGCTGCCTGCCCTTCTCCCTCCCCCAGGTGGAAGAGGAGACAGTCACAGTTTAGCACACCATGCTTTAGTGGCTCTCTCATCCTGGATAGCCACTTTGGAAACACCACTGTCCAAAGGACCAGTGTTGAAATCTACCTTCTGCATAAGCCATGACAACTCTAAAGCTGTGCATTGTGTTTTTTGTAATTTTTCTGAAGCAGCATGTGAGTGATGTTCTTGCTTTAATCAGAACCCACATGATTCCTGCTGTGTCTTCTGAGGTTTGACCTCTCAACAGCTTTGGCAAATGTCGCTTCCTCATTTTTCAGTGGATTCCTAAAGGCCTCTTATCCCCCTGGGATCAGGCTGGGTGTCTTGACTGAGAAAATTCAAGTGTAAACCACTTAGTGTGAGTGTGTTGCTAATCAGTGCAGGTTCTTTGCTGAACTTGGATAGAAATCATGAATTGGTGAAGTGCAGCGCAGCTCTGGTCAGCTAGCAACTGTGGGCTTCTGTGTCCGTGCATGCATGTGTGTGTGTGTGTGTGTGTTTAAGGGGTAAAGTTACTGAGGAGTTGCTAGATAGTTAAGGTTTGGTTTGTTCTCTTGGGCCTTCTTTTAAGTTAACATTCCTGAAGTTAGATGGATTTAGTTAAGAATCTCAGAGTTCCTTCCTGAGCTTTGATGGCAGTTCAGAATCAGAGGGTGGGTCTGGCATTTCCTCAATAAGTGAGACTACTGGGAGTGGTGATGCACACCTGTAATCCAGCACTCAGGCTAAGGCAGTAGTATCCCCGTGAGTTGGTGAGTTCACGACAGCCTGGGCTGCAGTGAGTTCAAGGCCAGCCTGAACTACATAGTGAGACCCTGTCTCAAAAAACCCAAAAACAAAAAAAGAGGGAAAGCAGGGATTACCATATGACTCAGCAGTTTCATGTCTCCAGGCTTCCAGAACTGCTTCAGAAAGTGGCAAAAATGATGGGATGTGTTTGAAGCAGGGGCAGTATTTTAAGTGGGATTAATGGCAATGTGTCTTTCATTATAATACATTAAAAAAATTTAAACATTCACCATATTTTTTGTTGTTGTTGTTGTTTGTTTTTTTGGTACTGGGGATCGAACTCCGGACGTTGCTCTTTCGAGGCAGGTGGCGGCACCACTGAGCTACATCCCTGGTCCCATTCACCATATTTTTGATATAATTTGTGTCTTGCTTAAAAATTAGATGGCGATAGATCCATCTCATTTTAAAAGCTTTATTATTTCTGTACAAATGATGCATACTTGTTTAAAAACAATCTAAATGGGGCTGGGGATGTAGCTCAGTGGCACTGTGCCTGCCCTGGCAAGGCCCTGAGTTCAATTCCTGGTACCAAGAAAAAAATTTCTAAAGTAATTAAAAAACTAAAAACGTCTAAACAAAATGAAAAAGCTCAAGAAAGATTTTAAAAACCCGTCATCTTCAGTGACTTATTAACATTTTGTTTCAGAGCAGAGGTCAGGTCTGATGAGTAATGGAAAAAGTTATTGAACTTTTCCCCAAGACAGGGAGAAACCCTCACACTTATTAAATGTGAAGATGTAGGGGAGAGTACAGCAGATGCCTTCCAGTGTTGTCATCATATGAGTGTGTATATGTACTGAATTGCAGGAATCTTACTGCTGGTTTTATGTGTGTTTCTGTTGCCTGACTTTTTCATGTAAAAATGTGATTCACCCTTTAAAAATAAATAGCAGGACCCCCCCCCCCAAGAAAATAAAGAAGAATAAACATGAGTAACTGCAGACAGTTCCATTTTATGGATGTGTAACAGCTCATCTGGGAATCTTCCATTGATAGAGGCTTCCAGGATGAATGGAGTCTCCCATCGATTGTGGTGGCCTTACACTGCCACCTGGGAGCACACAGAATCGAACATTCATTCCTTGCACACATGCATTCTAAGCGCCTAGTAGGTATGTGGCCAGAAATGCAGGTCCGGGGCTTAAGCCCTTGGTTTAAGTGTCTGACAGAGTAGGTCTTGTCTGGCACAGGGGAGTCCAGCTGTCCTAGGGGCCAGGCAAGGATTGATGTGGGTAGAGCCAAGGGGAGTCTGCGTGTCCAAGAGCGTTGGGCAAGGGCTGGTGCTGAAGGGTGAAATGTACTGGAAAGCTGCTGGCCACCGTCCCCGAACCAAGGTGTCAGAGGTCAGTAGAGGAGAGAGGAAGTCAGACTCGAGGAGAGGCCTCAGGCAGCAGGGGTGTGAGAAGCTGTCCCTCCCCTAGCCCTTCTCTAGTGTCCCCGGAGGCCTGGTGCACCTTCAGGCCCTGCCCTGGTGTCCACTGGGAACTCAGAGAAGCAGTTTGCCATCATGGGGAGGGGGGCGTGGCTACTTGGCAGGGGGGCCAGGGTCGGCTTTGGGGGAAACAGGTTGATGCTGGGGCCAGCTCACTGCCTGTGAGTCCTGCCTAGGGAATACTGGCTTTTGCTCACCAGGGAAGGAGTCCCCATGTGGGGTCTGCCACCTGGTGTTAAAGCTGCCCTGTGGTGTCTGTGCTGGCCCCTGTTACCTGCCTTCCTGGCCTCCCCACCCTTCTGGAGCATGTGTCTTAGCTGCTCCTGCCTGGGCCTCTGGCTTAAGCTGTCCCCTCTGCTGGGAAGGCTCCTGCCCCCTAACTTTTATTTAGAGCTCTAGGGGTTCCTCCTTGAGCTTTCCTGGGTTGTCTGGGGTGATCTTCCCCAACAAGCCATGACCCCCTCTTGGCACCTGTGCCCAGCCAGCTTGGAAGTGGGGTTTTCTGGATGTTTTCCTGACCTTATCTCTGGCTTCTAGCCCCTGGGGCAGGGTCTGGCACAGGGAGTCACACTGGAGGGGACAAGTGGCAGTCACCCTTGGCCTGCCTCATCACCCCCCACGTTCGTTCTCAGAGCCTTCTCAGCCCTGGGTGTCCCTCCTGCCTCTGGCCAGGACCCTGCAGCCTCTTGGGTCCTGGCCCCCAGGAGATGGGCTCCTTTTGGCCCAGCTGGCGGATTCAGCCTGCTGAATGCTTGGGATCCGTTCTGGACAGCCCTTGTGAGAACCTGAAGGTCACATTGCCCTCTGGGGGACTTGTCCTAGTCCCAGCCTGGCCTAGTGCTCAATTTTTCCATCTATAAAACAGGTGGGCCCCTCAAGCCTCAATGCACTGATGAGCGGGGAGCATCTGGCCAAAGAGAAACAACTCTTAATTCCCCTCCAGTCCCCTGTGCCCCACCTGCCCTCCCTCCTCTGTGCCCCCCCCCCAGAAGTTGGGTGGTGGGCATTTGAATACTGATGAAAACAGTGCCGGGAGTTCTAACCTTAAGCCACCCCTCTAAGTAGTGTGGGAAGATTTAGGAAGCATCTTGCGTGTCAGGATGTCTTGGAACCCTGTGTGTAGAGGAAAGCTCGGAGCTGGTCAGGCCTTATAATCATTTCCAGTTATAGGGGGTAAGTCAAGACCCAGAGAGGGAATGGGTCGTGCCTCAGCTACCCAGATGATCAGGGCAGCATGGAGGCTTCCCGTGCCACAGGGCTGCCGAAGAGGGTCCCAGGTGGGCTGGCACATGTTCCACCTTGAGGCAGCTCAAGTCTGTCCTTCAAGGCTGACCTCCAAGTCCACTTCCTCCTTCCTGGACACCCCTGTGTCCCCCGTTGGCTGCCTGCTCCCTAAAGCCCACAGAGCCGTGGAGCCTGTCTGGCTGCTCTCTGTTCAGGACGAGCTTTGTTTCTGTCCTTGTCAGCTCTCCGGAATCCCTGCCTATGGCTGGGCATAGGCCAGGAGGAGGTTTGGTTGTCTGTTCTCCTAGCCAGTGTCCTCCAGCAACCTGTAACTGCTCCCAGCATCTCAGCTGCAGTCAGATTGTCCCTTGGCTGGGCCAGGTGGCTCCTCCCACACCAGTGAGCCTGCTTCCTGTCTGAAGGCCACACCATATGTGTCCTCTGGGGTTAGCTGGGCTGTAAGACAGATCCCCTTGCTGCAGCCCCAACCCAGTGCCTTGGCCACCCCGGGGTGGACTCTGGATGTGCAATGGCCCTGTCAACCAGCCTCCCAGATGGAATGAGGGAGCCAGGCAGCTTGGCTGCTTTTCCCTCTCTGCTTAGTGGTTCAGCATCCGGTGACCCAGCCCAGCCCTTTCCTCTGCCTCCAATGGCCTCAGCTTCCAGCTCTGGGCCAGGGGTGCCTGGATTTTAGCTCCCTGGGACTCAAGCAAGTTTTTCTCTCACTTTGCTGGGAACTGGTTAGGCTGCTGGAGAGTGGGAGCCTGGGGCCGCCCCACCTCTGCCCCTCAGAGGACCGCTCCCTGTGTGTCTCCAGGCAGCCCCTTGCTGTCACCCCACCCTTCACTGTGGGGCTTGCCTGATTGGCATTCTCCTCCACATGCTTGTTTTTGGTACTGGGAATCGAACTCGGGACCTTGCGCTTTCAAGGCAGGCACCTGAACCACTGAGCTAAATCCCCGGCCCACACCTGCTTTCTTATTGGTGGACATTCCTTTGAGATTTCTCCCAAAGGCCTTTCTTCCTGTCCCCATCTTTTAGGGCATGTCCCCTCGCTGTTCCAGGAATGCTGCAGTGGGGAGACCTGACACCTGCAGGCTCCTCCCCACCCCACTGTCATGGCCTCAGTTCACTCAGCGTCTGTCTCAGTCTGTTTGTGCTGTAGTAACAATGCCACAGACTAGGTAAACTTTATCTCCTTTTGTGGCACAGGGAATTGAACCCAGAGTCTTTATATTGAGCTGTGCCCACCGCCCACTTCTTTTTCTCTCCCTCTCTCTTTCCTTCCTTCCTTCCCCCATCCCCTTCTCTCTCTCTCTCTCTTTCTCTCTCTCTCTCTCTCTTTCTTTCTTTAGAGAGGATCTCACTAAATCACTTAAGTTGCTCAGTTTGGCCTGGAATGTTCACTCCTCCTGCCTCAGCCTCCTGAGTGTGGGGATTACAGGCGTGTGCCACCATGCCCAGTGGCCTCAAGGGCTTTTATAATTGTTATTTATCCATTCACAGAGGGGAACCTTCATGACCCAACCACCTCCCATCAGGTCCCAACACTGTCACATTGGGAATTAAATTTCCAGCCCGTGCCTTTTGGGGACCACATTCATAGCATAGCAACCCATAGCAACACCCTATTCTGCAGGTTGCCCGTCACACTCTAATTGACTTCTTCAGGTCTGGGGCTCCACCTGGTGCCCGGGGAACTTAGCAGGAAAGTGGTTTCCTTGTTTGCTTAGCACAGGGCTCAGAGTCTTCTTCCCCTTGGCTGTGCCCTGAGCCTGCCACACCATTTCCTGTTGTTGTTTACCTGCCCAGCTTCCCACATTGTTTGCATCACTGCCCTCATCCTTTACTTGGGTTTGTTTTGTTTTCTTGGTCCCAGGAATCGAATTCAGAGCCTCTAGCTTGCTGTCTCATCCTTTACGCTGTAGACTCCATCCTTCTAAGGGCAGGGACCTTCTCTGCCTGACCATAGGATCCACAGCGAGAGCATGTCAGAGAGTAGGAGCTCAGCACATAGAAGTTGTTGAGTGACTTTACCTTCTTCCAGTCTTTGATAATATAATGGGTAAAAAAAAGGTGCATAACAGTTTTTAATTTTAATTTATTTGAGGGTGCTGAGAACTGAACCCAGAGCCTTTACTCTGACTTACTTCCCAAGTGGTTTGTGTTTTTTATTTTGAGAAAAAATCTCACTAGGCTGGCCAGGCTGGCCTTGAACTTGCAGCCTTCCTCCTTGGCCTCCCTAGTAGCTGGCGTTACAGGTCTGCACCACTGTGCCTGGCTGAACAGTTAGTTTAACATGGGCAGAAAGAGCCATGATGACTGTGCTTGTGTAGAATGTCTCTGGAAGAGTTCACACAATCTTGGTAACCGTGGATGCCTCTGGAGAAGGGAGTGGGGGGTGCAGGATGGGGTGGATAATCTTCTGCATTTAATTCAAGTGTCACAAAATAGGGATTTCATTAGTGAAGGATTTAGCTCTTTGAAAAAGGTCAGTTCATGGCCTGGGAGGTGAGGCCTCTCTAGCAGGGACAGCCCTATTCTCCCAGCCCCCCGACTCTGATGTGATCTCTTCTTCCAGCCCAGCAGTGCCTGGTTTGAGATGGGGTCCCAGGTCTCAGTGGACACAGGAGCTCTGCACGTGGTGATCGTGGGCGGGGGCTTTGGTGGCATCGCGGCTGCCAGCCAGCTGCAGGCGCTGAACTGCCCCTTCACGCTGGTGGACATGAAGGACTCCTTCCACCACAACGTGGCCGCCCTCCGGGCCTCTGTGGAGAGTGGTAATGTGTTTCTTTCCTGGGCTGCCTTTGTGACACAGTCTTTCATCACTGCGGGACGTGATTTTCTCCATTTAGGAGCATTCCAAGCTGGGCATGGTGGCACCTGTTTGTAATCCCAGCACTCTGCAAGGCTGAGGCAGAAGGATCATAATTTGAGCCTATTGTGGGCAATTTAATGACAGCACGAGTAGGACCCAAAATAAACTATAAGAAAAAGGCTGGGGGTGTAGCTTAGTGTGGCTCAATTCCCAGTAACACACACACACACACGCACGCACGCACGCACGCACGCACACAGACAGACACAGACACAGACACACTTTGGAGAATCTCACAACAGTTGGTCTTAAGCTACTATAATGAGGCCCTAGAGTAAGAGCTTGGGGTTTTCCAAGGACCTAGGAGAGCTGAGCACTGGAGGGGCAGTGGGTGTCTGGGTACACATGCTGGTCAGCTCTGGCAGCGTGCCCTGTTGGTTGACAGCCATAGAAAGTTTTAGCTCAGCTCTACACTGTGCCCTCTCTCATGTTCATTCCCTAGGGTTCGCCAAAAAGACTTTCATTTCCTATTCTGTGACCTTCAAGGACAACTTCCGGCAGGGCCAGGTGGTTGGGATAGACCTGAAGAATCAGACGGTGCTGCTTCAGGGTGGCGAGGTGAGCGTGGCAGGGCCAACCTGACCAGAGTCCCTCAAAGGTCAAGAGAGCCATCCATGACCACCAGGCCCACTTGGTGCTGGACAGATAGGATCTGCATCATAAACGAAAGCTTAATCCCAGCAGCCACAAAATACAATGGCAGTTATTTCTTGAGTCTTTCTTTTATGTCAGGCACTGTCCTAGACCCTTTTAAGGCAAATCTCATGAGGCAGGTAATAGAGCCTCATTTTACAGAGGTTAAAGGATTATTAAATGGCTTGCCGAAGGTCCCCTAGCTGATAAGAGCTGAAGCTGGGATTTGAATCCAGGCAGTTTCAGCCTGGAGCCCATGCTCTGAAAGCCAGTGTCCCAGGTGAGGCTCAGGCCTGGTCAGCCAAGTAGGCACAGGCAGGAAGCCACACCCCTTGGTTTGGGAGGTTGCTGGGCAGAGGTCTCCTTCACTCATCTTTTTTTTGTTTTGGTACCGGGGATCGAACTCGGGACTTGGCGCTTGTCAGGCAGGTGGCAGAACCACTGAGCTAAATCTCCTCCTTCACTCATCTTTGTGTCCTTGCCCAGTGTGTAGCATGCCAACATCCCTGCAAGGACTAGAGCCCAGCCATATGTGGCCCAAGCCCAGATATCCCATGGGCTGCTCAGGCCCCTGCTCATTTGTTAAAACTAAAGGCAATGAAATATGGAGACAAGTCCTGCCCTTAAGGAACAGTTGCTTTTGTGTGAATTAATTGTCCTTGATCTAATTTAAGGGCCAGGGAATCTCCTGGTTGGAAAGACTACCACATGCCTCCTGGTCCTGTCATTTTGGGCCATACTTCTCAGAGCCTTAGGGCCACAAGGGCATCTCGGGGCTCTGTGGGGAAGTGGGTCTGAAGGTTCCAGATTCACTGGTCCCCTTCCCATTTGGAGCAGAACTGTTTTGTCACTGTTATGAATTTAAGTTTCAAACAAGACTTCCACTGTCTCCATTTCTTCCTCCCATCCTCCTCCACAACCCCCTTTTTCAGTGGGTGTAGAAGGAGTTTTCTTTTAAAATATCCAGGAGATTCTGAACCAGCTCATTGGACAAACACATTGGACACGTGCATCCTGCTCATTTTTCTGCTTCATTCCCCACAAGCAGTTTTCTGTTCCTCACTGACCTCCCCAAGTCCCATGGTGGCTGGCTTTGTGGCCACCAGGCTTCTCTAGGCGGGAATAAAATTGGGGCTCTAGTGGTGTCCCTTGGCCCTGCTGGCGTGGGAATCTCCTGCCTCCCAGCAGGGCTGCTTCCTTGGCACGCAGGGGCCTCCTTCACCCAGTGCTCCTGGGTCCGTGCCCTGTCACCCTCACCTCTCTTTCCCTTGTTCCCCACAGGCCCTGCCCTTCTCACATCTCATCCTGGCCACGGGCAGTACTGGGCCCTTCCCCGGCAAGTTTAATAAGGTTTGCAGCCAGCAGGCCGCCATCCAGGCCTATGAGGACATGGTCACGCAGGTGAGCTGCCACTGATGGGCGAGGAGCAGGGACAGCTAGGGTGACAGTGGGCTGGACAGGGAGTGCATGGCAAGGGCTTCAGAGTGGCGGAGGCAGCTGGGAAGTTGGAGAGTTGTTGGGAAGGGATTTCCTGGGAGGAGCCTTGGGCCTGTCCCTGAGGCCTGGATTCGAACCCTGACTCCCCAGACCTCTTGGTTGTCCTCACTGGTCCATCCTGAGGTCTCCTCGTGTTCACACAGGGTTTTGGGTTTTGTACAGCACATTTGGCTCCAGACCTCAGTTTTCATAGCAGCCCTTCCGGGCAGGCAGGAGAACCCCAGCTCAGCAAGAGTGTGCTGCACTCCTTTGGCTGAGGAGTCCGCATGGGGCGGACCACCAGCTGGTGCAGGGTGTGGAGATGTGCTTCACTGTCTCTCCACCCCCAGGTCCAGCGCTCAGAGTTCATCGTGGTGGTGGGAGGAGGCTCCGCCGGCGTGGAGATGGCAGCAGAGATCAAAACAGACTACCCAGAAAAAGGGGTGAGACGGGCCGCCTCGGCTTTCAGCTCTGAGTGGCTTCTACCTCCTTTACCTCTGAACATAAGGAATTTGCCCCAGGCCTGGGAGGCTGGAGCTCCACTCTTTTCAACTGAGTGTGTGTTTCCCATCTTGTGATGAAGTACAAATCTGCAGGAAGTTTTCTCCAAAAGCCAGGATCCTCTGGCTCCTGACCTCCCAGAGCCTCTGCCACTAAGTCCCCATCCAGAAGGGTCTTGCCTACTGGTCCAACAGGGAAGATGAAGCCCAGGGAGATCCCTTATAAAGAAGACTTCCTGTGTCCCTTTCAGGCTTCTGTGATAACACCTAGATTTTGATGATCTCTTCTTGGTGGCAGCTAGCTTGGCCAAGCACACCCTCAGTGGCGCCTTGGTCTCTTCCCCTGGGTAGTACAGGGTCGTCCATGCCTGTGGCAGTGGGAGAGTGGCCCCTTACCTGCCCATTTTGGGAACGACTGCTCACACAGGAGGTGGCATCAGCCTGCCCGGACCCTTCTGATGCGTGGGGAGGGCTGAATGCTGATGGCCGTTGTGGGTCCTGCAGGTAGGAGCTTGCTTACCACTGCTGCGGGCCACCTGAGAGCCTTTTGAGCCTGTGCATGGTTCTTTTTTTCCCTAGGAAAAGGCAGGTTGGTTTTGAAAGGGAAAATTAATCATGGCTAATTGAATTATATGACTGTTTTCTGACAAGTTGTTGGTAATTATGAGTGACTGATACAGTTGAAGGTTATTCATTTTGATTTATAATTGTTGTACAGGGAAAACCCACTTAATCTCTGTGCTCACACATCAACCAGTTCTCTGACACAAACCAAATGTCCTAAATTCCAGCTCAACTCTGATGCTCCCTGGAGTTGGTGCAGGCCCCACAGGTCAAAGGCCCAGTCCCTTATGACTGTCCCTACTTCAGATGCCAGTGGCGCGTAGTAGGTCCCAGCTCACCTGCACTTCTGTCTGAACTGGCTAGAATTTAGAAGTTCCTATGACCCTCTCCTTGGGTTTGATAATTTGCTAGAGGGGTTTATAGAACCCAGGAAACCTATCTACTTAGCATTGCTGACTTATCCCAAAGATAGCTGAACAGCCAGGGGAAGAGACACATAGGGTGAGGTCTGGAAGGGTCCCCAGCACAGGAGCGTCTGTCCTCTGGAGTTGTGGTGTACCCTCTTCCTGGCACACAGACACGTTCACCAACACGGAAGCACTCCGGACCCTGTACGGACTCTTGGGAGGCTTCACCACGTAGACCAATGTAGACTGATAGATTGTTAACTCAGTCTCCGGCTCCTCGCCCTTTCCTGGTGGCTAGAGGTGGGATGGGATTGAAGGTTCCAAATTCCCATCCTGGTGGAGGCCCCCATCCAGGAGCCAGCCAACCAAGAGTATCCTCATTAGAACCAAAGATGCTCCTATCACCCGAGAAATTCCAAGGGTTCAGGAATTCTATGTCAGATGCTCCTATCATTCAGGAAATTACAAAGGTATTAGATGTTTTGGATCAGGAACCAAATGTTAAAACAAAAGATTTAGCCAGCACCACTGTCTACAAGTGTTTTAAGAGCTCTGTGTCAGGAACTGGGGTATCACAGAGGTAAAGACCAGTCTGAACTAGTAAACATGTTCAAATACAAAATATAGTATCTTATAATATAGTATACTTAATATAGTATAAAATATAGTATACTTAACAGGCAAATTGGAGTAATGTAGCAGCCACTATTTAAAAAAATTTTATTAATGTATAACTTTATTATCATTCACTAAACACACACGTACAAAGAAATTAAAATTATTCAATGAAAAGCAATGCAAGGAAAAAAAACTATAATAATATTCAAATATAATAGAACTCAACCAAAGCAAAACTGAAAAGTACTTAAACATTTTTCCATATAATTAAAAAAAAAATCTCAAGCATTAACAAGACATCAGAAGATGTGATTTGTTTTAGAAGATTTTCAAAACCAATATTGAACAAATATTAGCCTGGAGAAAAAATTCTAACTAGTAGACTCCACATAGGCCAAAAAGTTTTTAAATTTAAATTTCAGTACAGTCATGTGACACGTGATGGAGATATAATCTGAGAAATATGTTATTAGGCAATTTCATCCATGTGTATCGCAAGGTACCACACAGAGTGCCAACTTCTAAGTGCAAACTGAGAAGGTATACGTCAGTCATCTGTGATGGCCCCTTCATATTATCCAAATACGCAGTTAAACACCAGATACATGAGGCTACCACTGGCATAGCAGCACACAGTTTTACAGTAAACTCTTTGATATAAGTAGGATTGTGCTCTAAAGGATGAAAAGCACAGCATGTTATGATAAGTACCTAAAACAGTGACAGTCATTTATCACACTATCAAGTACTGTGTACTGTACATAGTTGTATGTGCTTCTTCTGGAAACATACCCTTCTCTCCTTTGATCTCAGTGACTCTTCCTTCCCAACCCCCTGATGAGCTCCAGCCTAGTCTCTATCTACATCTCTTCCTGTGGTTCTAAACACAATCTATATATGGATTCTTTCCAGATTCCAGCCTGTAACCTGATCTCTACCCTTCCCCTTCTGCAACCCCTATCCCTTTGAACCTTTTCTTCGTATTTCAAATTATCCATTGTTTGTTTTAATCATTTTAATCCTTAATTACACTTTCAGTTTCTCACACTAGAGAAACTATTCGGTATTTACACATGTTGTCCTATTTATTTCACTTAAGAGGATGGCCTCAATATGCATCCATTTAGCTATAAATGTCTCTAGTTTCTCCTTCTTTATGGCTGAATAGTACTCCATTTTATTAAAAAA